ACCATTTATTATTTTTAACCAACATTTGGCCAATAATATACATTCTATTTCTGATGATGCTACTAATTCTTTCAAGTGTTGAGAGACATCAACATATAAACTTCTAAACTTAGCTAACTTCTTAATAAGTTCTTCAAATCGCTTCTGAGAGGCATTCTTTATATATAGTTTAATTGCAACATTAGTCAGATCGTTAGATAATTGCAATGTCAAAATTTTTGAAAGTACTTCATCAGAATAAAATTCTAAGACTGCTACTGAGGGTTTTAGAGGTATTCTTTTGATTTCAAAATAGTCTTTCAGTTTCTTTTCAAACACATTGGTGAAATTTTGTTTCTTTAAGAGGTTCATAAATTGCTCTATATAATGTGCTTTGTATAAAATGCTTTCAATATCCGATTTAATTATATTATTAATATTAATCAGAGATAAGAATAATAATATATCATTAATCGTTCCTAATATTTCTTTGAATCCAGTGTCAAAATCAGTACTCATTGAAATTTCCCAAAATATAATTCATCATGATTACAATGTAACTAAAATCACGAATCTCTTCTTGTCAGAATAAAACTTAAAACCTTCTAATCCCTGAAATATAATAAACAAAATTAGCATATAACTAATGACAAGAAACTACCAGTTATAATAAAATTGATTGTTTTAATTAATATCATAATGCAGCCATATAGCCACGCTTTTGTTTTATGTTAAAAAAATCAAAATAAAAAATTATAGAATGAAAGAAAAGCTCAGTCAAAATAAATATGAAATATATCTAGAGAGTAGTCAAAGCAATCCAATTTATGGACTAATCCAAACCATTTTTTAAAACTATGTAACAGAAAAGTTTGAAATTAAGTGTTATTCATACATATTTTCTTTTTTGGGAGCACTGCATATTACTTTTGTTTATTTTATACATTTAAAAATTTAATTTTAAATTTTGTAAATAAATATTTTAACTCTTTTAATACACATTTTATTTTAATTTTTTTTTAATAAGAAAGCCATAACGAATTTGTATTTATCATCTAAATGTATGATTTTTGAATTAGACTTTGCTGAATAAAATAATGATGTTATACATATTTATGTGTAAGTATGTATTTTTAAATTCCTGCTTTGAATCTTCAATAATCCAAACTGGCTTTGGCAATCATTAGTTTGGATTAATGAGACTGCATTATATATATGAGCAGTTTTTTATCAAAAGTGGCTACTTCCACTTTGATCGAAACTCAGATTTTGATCAGGGGAGATAGTTTCTCAAAAATGTAGTTGATGCTCCACTTCTATAAAAAATGTTTTTTCATCATAGCCTAATGAATAGAAAGATAACTTATCCAAGCAAACTGATCAATTCCAAATGGTGGAAAATCAGTTTTTAAGTAGAAACAAAAGTGGAACAATGGACATGTACACTTTTGATAGCAAACTCTTCTTAAATACATGAACATACACACTCACACTAGAAATACCAAAATATGCACATTCTAAGATTTACACGGTCTTGGTGTTATATGCACAATATGTAAAGATTCATAATACTAAGTTATTAATAATGGTTGATTTCTTTATCTGATTTTTTAGTAATATTTTTCAAGAAAATAATTATGCACGCCTCTACTGCCTCTCCAAATGCAGCCAAAGGATTCAACTACTTTATTAATTAAATGTAAACATTAAAATAAAAATTGATTGTTCAAAGTGATTTCCTTGAGCATTAAGTCAGGCTCGGCATCTTTCTTCAACAGCAACATTGGCAGAACGGCACTGGGTATGTTTCTTTCTTGCTTGACGATTGTACTGATGTTCTGGTAAATCCCTCACAACATTTTAACAGCAGTCTGTGAGCATTAAAGTATCCCACCGATCTTGATATCTTCGTTCCATGGAGGATATATCTTTGTGAAATTGCTCACCATGTTCATTTACAGATCCACAATTGGCGATCCATAGGGATGGACCGTTTCAGGCTGAACGGTCCGCGGAACGAATTCTATCACTGAAACGGTTCGGAACGAAACAAGACACTAGAAAACTTTGTTCCACCAGAACATAATCTCAGAATATAAACTTCTTTAGGTTTCAATAGGTAAATGTTTGGCAGAAGTCAAATAGGTACAAAAGAGATTTGTAGCAATTAAGGTTAGTGCGCTGATTGCCGCCGAAGTGGATTAATAGAATAGCTGGATAAGTTGTTTGCTTCAAAAGTGAACTATAATGACTAAATTTAATTTAGTGTTTAATTAAATATAAAGAAATATAATATCCCAACCATAATTTTAAAAATATTAATTATAATGTCAAGATTCAGAAAAACTATTAAAATAATAATAAACTAATTATAAATAATATTAAATAAACATTTCAATCAAATTTTATAATTATTATTAAGACCAATGATAAATATGTGGTTATGTTGTGCAAATGAAATTTGTCATAGAAAATTGTATATCATTAGTTTATTTGGATTTAGAAAACCTAAGATTTCACATTTTATTTATTTTAGCTAACTATAAAAGTCATAAGAGATATCAATATTGTTTAAACATTTTATAAGATAAAAAAATATTGAATTATTTTGGCTTTACTTACTATTATTTTATTTTTATTTATTTGTGTCACATAATGGCAGAATCAAGAAGAAACGGAACTAACAATCTCGTTAGTACTAATAAAATTTTCTTGAACGAGTTCGATGAAACCATTCCATCTCTGGAACGGTTTGGAATGGTTCCACCTGCAACGAGAACGCTTTTACGTTCGATTATGTTGCGTTTTTGTTCCAATCTGAGATTTCATTCTAGCGTCCGTTTGGAACGATTATGATACGGATTAAAGTGTTAACGTGTGTTGTTATTTTTAGTTTAAATTAGAAAACAGAAATGGGTGTTTATTCATTAATATTTTTCTGTAACTTAGAGTAAGGAAAATTAAGACAAATACATGAATTTTGCCAACCAAAAAATAGTTTTATAAAAAAAATAAAGACAAGAACAACCAAATCCATAATATAAAAATTAGAGTGAATTTTACCAAACAGTAACAGAAATACCAAAATGGTAAAAAGTTTATATAAATCTATTAACAAATTGGAATTTAAAACAGCAATTTTTATTTTATCAACTGACAGTCGAGTCAGAAGTTTATTAATCACATGCCACTTTTGAAAAGAATCGATGTCATGGAACCGAAGTGACCACTATACTCAACATTTCTTTGGTGCAAATTAGGATAGTTATTCTGCAGATCAAAACCACCACTTAATAGGATCCTCGTTGTCGTATAAAATATCCTTTTCTAAGTATCGGTTTAATTCAATCATTGCCCTTGATTCAGGTGTCCCATTTGGAGAATGTTGCTTCCGAGCTCTCATCAATGTACCTAAAACCTCCAGTTAATTTTTTTTTTTTGGTTTTTTCTTCATTTTTCTGCACCACTCTCCATTTATCTTCATTTTCCTCTTCCACAATGATTTTTCTGTAGTTTTAGTATCACCTCACCCCCCGGCCCGGGAAAATCCTGTATAACCTAAAAGGCGAGGTAGGGAAGAACAAAAAAAAAAAAAAAAAACAAGCAACAAGGTTTTCATAGAATTTCTCATACCAAAAAACATGGAATGAGGCTGTTCAAGTGAGATACAATAACAACGGAGAGCAGTGTAATACAACAATATCCATTTTTAATTTCTTACATTTTCCTAAAACTTCTTTCCTTTTTGTCATTAAACCTTGTAGGTTCCAATTCGTATTTTCCATTTCCATCCATAGCCATTGTTGTTTCCTTTTTGACAGTCTTCTATCCAAGGCTGTTTTGTAAGGTTTGAATGCCAACTGTAATTTTCCAACGATGAGCTACAAACCCAACGTCAATCCCCAACCTGGAGGACCAGGGAACTTGATTTCGGGATTTCTTACTCTAGAAGGTTTGCCTTCACTTCGGCTAGGAGCCCCATCTGCCCCCGAAATGCCATTTCCTACACTTCACAATGGTTATACCGCCATGACTCTGTTAACAATTAATAAACAATAATAAAATAGTTGGGTTAGTTGAAGTATAGTTGAAGAATAGGCTCTTAAACCTACAGGAGATAAAGGAAGAGGCTCAAAAATCGGACTACTTCATAATTCCAGCACCTTTGAGTTCTTTCTAAAATCAATATTTTCCCAACTTGTCTTTAAAGAGTTTAAAACATAGCATCTTCATAATAAACTTAATTGCTATAAAGCCAGTAAGATGAAGACACTTGCTGTTGTCTGTTTTTGATTTTACTTTTTGTTAAATAATAGTGATAGGTTGTTTTCAGTTTTTCCACATACATTTTGGACTTTGTTCAGTTAATCAAATGTACTTGGTCATGAATATGAAATAGGAATCATTGATGTAAATTTAACGCTAATGAAACTGCAGAGCATAGCTAGTTATTTAGAATTTGATAACCACCTTGACATACCAAGGACATTTTATTATCAAACATTTCATTCAAGTAAGTTATGTTATATACACAAATATAAGATAAACTATCAGATAAAATAAGTTGTTTTTAATTTGCATATATCTAAGACAGTAGAGTCCGTCTGAAATGAGTTTGGTGGAGGGTAGAGAAGAAGAGAGATGCGCATCTGGCAGTGCTAAAATATATTTCTGCCAATCCCTCACTCTCTCATTCCTAGATACTTTTACAAATTTTTGTTTGCAAGTAGAATTTTTTTTTTTTTAATTTACCAACTTTCGTTTTCGATACCATCAAGTAAACTGGATAGAGGGAAAACTATACACTCACAGACATTTTTCTGAGATAGCATCTGAATTATTAAGGATAAAGTCGGATATGAATTATTGTTTTAAAAGGCATTTTATTTCTATTATGATAAAAAAATAGTCCTTAGCTGTCAGTTTTATCTAATTTTATGTAAATTGCATGAACAAATTATTTTAAGAAAAAACAAAAGCTAGGATAAATAAGTATTAATATGAACTATATACAAACTTACACTTTGAAAGGCAGCTTAGGATCTGATGTTAATGTTACTTTGAAAGTAACCTTGGCTCTAAAAAAAATAAAATAAATTTAAAGGAATTCTATCTACATATTTATTTATTTGATTTACATCTTATGAACTAAATCATAATAATAATTAATAACAATAAGAACACCCAAACCTGTTTAAAGTGTTGTTTTTTTTAGGGAATTTTTTTTTTCAATTTTATTTTAAATACTTTTTAGATTTTATTTTAAATCATTTTTAGATTTTATTTTAAATACTCTTAGATTTTATTTTGAATACTTTTGAGATTTTATTTTTAAGTCAGAATTTTATTGAAATAATAAATAACACAAAACATAATAAATAGGATAACACAGGTTTGAGTAAATCAGAAGAGTCAATCCTATAAAACATTTGACAATACAGGGGCTCTATACTGTAATTTCCAAATTGTGGGCCATTAGTTACAAATAAAAAAACATCAATATAATTATGAGGCACTTTGATATTATCTGGTTCTTGATATTAAATATCAAGAACCAGATTAGATAAACACACTGTCAACTATTCATTTGGATTAATAACAAATAATAAAAACTTAAGAAATAAATTTACTATTTGCATTACATGCAGAAACATAATTCCTAAATAAAATGTAGGTGTAATTAGACTTGATTGACAGTAAACATTCAGGAAATAATTAAAATTGAACAAGATTATTGGAAATACCTAAAACTAATGTTAAGAACACTCCAACATTAACGTATGGAACCTACTAAAATGTCATGTTTTATTAAATTCGGTTAAGTCTAAGAATGAGTAACACTTACTCAGCTGCCATAGTAATTGTAAATCTCAAGTAAAACGGTTTCAATAAGACTGAAATGGACAATAGTTCCCTTTCAAAATATTTAAGGGACACGTCTACGCCAAAATCGGTGAAGGTAACGTTTTTGTGCAAAGAACGTCTTATTAGTTGATTTGATAATTTGTTTATCGATTATTAATACAAAGATATAAAAACAATTAAGTAACTACCAACATTAACAAATTTCAGAAAAGGTTTTAGAAATTACGTCAGTAGAAATTATACACATATATCATTATATACATTTCAGTCAAAATGTTTATATTTGCGTTAATCCTAGTTATTTCACTATAAATTTTTCATTATCATTTCAAAGAATTTTATTTATAGTGAAATGCAGGAGTGTTCAGAAGAGAAAATTTAATGAATTTTAGAGAGGAGGGAACAAATATTTATAGGGTTATGAATTTTCAGAACGAACCCTATTTTTGTGAGGTTTCCATTGAAGAGAACTTTGTAACAAAAGAAAACTGAACTATGATTTTTATTATTATTTTTCATTTACATCATTTTTAAGAAGTCTCCTCTTCTACAGTCATCGCTCTTGGATCACGGTCACCTCTTCTGACATGAGGAACTAACCAGGGAATCATGGCCTACATTGGCTTTAAATTCAAAGTGGAACGAAACAAGATTTAAAAACAATTAAAATTAAAATCATATGTTTTTATTGAAAAGTAATTTTCAGTAGCGAAGTAAAAAAGGAGACCACATCTCGCATCCAAGGTGATCTTCATGGTCTGTAGTGCCAATCGAAAAAAAAATCCATCAATGGATCATCATTAAATTTAGGAACTTGCCCTTATGTTTGATTTATTGATCGTCCAAGTAAACGATAATCGCCAACGCACGATGTCTTATCATTAGGACAAAGAGAGAAGCTACAAATAATCCGTCCACTACAGCTTAAAAATTGGTAAATATGGTGACGAATACTTCTAACAGGTCAGTGACTCAACTCCATGCACGGGCGGATCTACGGGGGGGGCTTTCGGGCTGAAGCCCCCCCCAAAATGGAAAAATATAACCATGTTTTATCGAACAAAATATTAAAAAAGTAACTCTTAAAGTATTATTGTTCGTGTGATTAATATTAAAAGGGCTTTAGGAATCACTTAAACACCATTTCATACAAGTAGTTAGTTTCTTTCTTTTTTTCCAAAGTAATTATCGTAATTTTTATGAAAAAAAAGCTTTCGGGCTGAAGCCCCCCCCCCAAATTAAATCCTGGATCCGCTAGTGACTCCATGCTAGTGCAAGTGTAAGCAAAGCCCCTTACTACCATCATATACGTGGTAGAAGACCCAAGAACAAACCTTCGTCGAAATATTTGGAGTGATTTACAGTACAATGTCTGTCATCCTTTCCAATCATTCCTTCTACCCCACTATACGACTTCCACAGGTCAGACATTATAATGTAACCCGGTCTAATTGATGTTCTTATCCACTCCTCCAGGCTTTCTCTTCTTCTATCGGGCACTGCATACAAAAAACACTCTTTAGTTTCACAGATCCCGCCATACACCTATTGTTGTGGATAGGCGGCATTGTCTTTTGTTGCACCTATATTTTTCCTATCTTAGTAAAATTTCAGAATGTGGTCTTTTTTACAATAGCTTTCCTTAGGTAGAATTCCTCTTTCTTTAAAGAAAATCCTGGCTCGTTCCTCTTCTTTGCATAAATAGTAAACTTCAAAAATATTCATTTTGTTATCACTTTATAACCGCAATTAAACAAACAATACTAAATTAAATAACATTTAAACATGTGATTTTATTTGTATATCAATGGTATCAAGTTTCATAACAACTGTTACTAAATATCATTAAAAAATCATTGGCGGGCCTAATCTAAACAAGACCCGGTGGTTTTATGGCGCAAATTGCGCCATCAAAAGTTTTGAGGGGGCATATTTTGAGGTTTTTTTTTTAATTTTTGAGGGGAGTGCATTTCAACGGGGTCATGAATTTTCGGAATGAAACATTTCAGAATAAGAGGTAAGGGGAAAACAGACAGCAGCAAGTGTAGTTGTGTGTGGAGGGAGAAAGGGTGGCCGAACGAGCTAACGTGTGTGCACAGCACACCCGTTGCCCGGCAAGCTGATATATGAGACAATTGACATAAAATAGTCACGAGTTCCCGTCCCGATGCCCGGGGGTCTTTTAAATCCCCGCCCACACACACAAAAATGTAATTATGAATATTTAATAGTTGACCGTTGCATTACAAAGAAAGTATAGGGTCCGTGGTGGCGGTCATAAATAGGCTAAATAGTGGCAAAACTATTTTATTAAAAGCCACCGTTTCGACCCGACTTTGCAGGTCTTCTTCAGGGAGGTGTGTTCAGCTAGCAGTTTCACTTAGAATTCAATCGGTTCTAAATGAAACTTTTTTTCGATTAGAGAAGTAAAATTGACCCAGAATGTTTAAATATCTTGTTTTCTCTAAGCCAAGACATATTCAGGTGACGATTTGAATGGATGTAATACAAAATACTGTTGATTATAAAATTTAATTGTATTGTTAAATGAAAACATGAGCCAAAGCTTTCATAATGTACTTTTTTCTTTTATATTTACTTAAATGATTTATAAATGAATTGATCGTTGGTCTTCTTATTGTTTGGACCCCAATGTTAAAGTGGGTGTTAAAGTATGAATAACAAGGGCTGTGTTTTAGTATTATAAATTGTTGCATTCTTGGATACACCTTAACTGTTGGATAAAGGTAAAAACTAGCAACCAAGCCTGTGTTGGGAAATAGTCCAATACTCAGTCCCCTAAGTTATTAGATAAAACTTCAAAATTAGGGGAAAAAACCTATATGACAATGACTCTAATTATTTCACCACCTTGCAAAACAATTGGCCAAGAAACTGCATTTATTGTACCTAATACTCTATCTGGGTTGTAGTAATAGTTGTCCCAATTGGATTAGATAGAGGATGAAGATAATATGTGAAAGGGACTTTGTCACACTAAATAAGTACCTTAATATACTATTAAGAATGTCGAATGAAGGCACTTTTTCAAGCTTAATAAATCTAAAAGATACATATTTTGGTTTATTATTGTCAATAATCAACCATTGTGATCGACCCAAAAATTCAAAAACTTAACCCCCTCTCAAAATTTAAGGTTTCACGTTTCAGGATGCGTAGAATTCGAAAAAACGAATAAAAATTTTTTTGTCCGTCCGCTGTCCGCGCATTTTCTCCGAAACTACTGGACCGATTCTTTTCAAATTTTCAACCGTTCTTCTTTCTTCTTTTCAACCGATTCAAGAGGTCACCCGAGGATGATCATCCTTCATCTACATTATTATCCGCCTCTTACTTTCAAAATGGCAGCAGAAAAACCTGCATTGCTATAGACAGTAGCTATTTCAATGAAACTTCGCTTTAAATTTATCTATATAACATACTTCAACGAAAAGAAGCTGGAAAAAAAGTTAGGAGGGATGGTAAAATTTAATTCCGAATAACTCAAAAAGTATACACTTTTTTGGGGATGTTGTATTATGGTTTTTTAAAAGTTTACGAAATTACCTAAAAACCAAAAAAAAAAAAAAATCGTTAAATTTAAATCGGACATTTAGGAGCAAAGATATGGTCTCCGGTTTTTGGTTTAATATTTTTTTTAGATGTTCTACCTTTGTTTGGTTTTTAAATTTTGAATGTGTTACTGAAGTAATGATATTTTTTTTTATCATATTACTAATGATTAAAAAAAGAGAAGTTTAGTCCAATAATTGGAATCACCTTTTATTTATTTTTCTTTATAACTAGGAAGGTAATGTTACTTTAGATGTATAATTGTTTGGAAATAATATACCTTTGTGGAATAATTTGCAGCGTTTTTTATATATTTCAAACATTGTACATGACATTAAACCTTAATTGGGATTTTGGATTAACATTAAATAAATAAGAAAAATAATGTTTTTAAAATAACCTTTGATGCACAGAAAGATGTATACCAACAGGAAGCTGTAGACTAAAAATCATTCAAATTCTGTTATTGTTGACTAAAATTAAATTTTTTTTATTATACTTAATATTAAATAATTTTAACTTCATCAAATCTGTTATTAAATGAAATGAAGGTATCAGTGGATTTGTAAAATTGTCATACTATGACAATTATTTATTTATTTTTATTTAGCCTCTACCCAGTAAGGACAGGAGATAATTTAAAAAAATTCGAATTTTTTTTCAGTTTTTCATTGTTGGTTAAGTTTTCTTTTAGGCTTTGTGACATGTCCAATTTTCCTCTTATACATGACAATTAATTACAATATGATTATATAATTATTATATATTACATAATTAAATTATTATATATTACATAATTTATTATTATTATTACAATATCTATTATTATTATGTATTACATAATTATATTGTTAGATTATATGTATTTTTTAAATTTTATATATTTCTTTAATGTATGAATGGTTTAATAAAATATGAAATATATTTCTCATTTATGTATTTTCATATGATTTAAAAACATTTCAATCAATATTTTTCTTTGAATTATTAATTAATTGAAGTTTTGTTTGCAGAGAAATGTCAATAAATAGAAAAATTGGCAAAACTCTAAAGTGTTTTCTAAAAGTAGATACTAGTTTTACATTAATAAAAAAAAGGTTATTTTCTGGTTTGACTTGCAAAAATGTATGCAAGGGTGCCCAGGTTTCATGGTGCAAATTGCTCTATATCAGTTTTTCAGGGGTCCATCTTTTAATGGACTATAACGAAGTTATATATTTTCAGAGTGAAAATATATAACAGAGTTATATATTTTCTGAGTGAAAAACTTGAAAATAGAGAACTAGGTGAAAAACATGGAAAAGATACAGCTAGTGTAATTGTTTATGATCTATGAATTTTCTAATTATACTTTCACATGCACTGTTTTTAAGAAGATGAGGGTAATACAGGAGAGGGGGGAGGAATGATTTATGTGCCATCGACCATGGGGTGGATGGGCACCCCTGAATGTATGACCATCAGATTTGTATATATATACATATATTTATATAAATTACCAATCATACAAATAATCAAAGAGGATCAATAAATTAAGTATTGCCCAATTTGGTAAAAATCTTGTTTTACTTGAAAATTTAAGTCTGCTCATACAACTTCTGTGCTAGTTGATATACCATCGATGTGTTAATAAATAAAAGTTTATTTGATTAAATGATAATTTATCTTTCAATTGTAATTGGTATATGGAATTACTAGGTCAATAAAGCACTATTCATTATAGGTCATTATCACACTATTCATTGAAAATGGGAAGAGCATTCAGACCATTAAAAGATGAAGCTATAACTTTCTTCATTCCAATATAAAGATATATCATCCAATATTTTACATAGCAGTGATAAAAAATTCTGAAACCTTTATTCCCAAATATAGATACTAAAACAAAATCTTCAGTTGTTCAGTCTCAATTCAAATTCTTTTTAAAATGGTTCAATGAAATCGGAGAGGATTGGCTTTTAATCATATTTGACATAGATATAAGACCTTTTCATCGACATAGCAAAAGGAAGATTGAATTTAGACTACAAAATTTATTTGAAGAATAAATTGGTTTGACAAGTGATCAATCAGTTGCAGAAGGGTGCTTCATAATTAATTAGTCTCAAAGATTGTTGACCATGATTTTTTTTTTTCACAGCACTCGGATCAAGCCTGAATTCTAATGGTCAGCAACACATTTTCACAATGCATAATAGAAATTAATTGACAAACTACAAAACTTTTATAAATATATTCTGTAGTTGTCCTGATGAAATTACTAACTATATTATTTATTATCTTGTTCTTTTATTTACGAGTACATACTCCTCAAATTATTTTAGATTCTGCAATTCATAATGAGGATATATTGTGCTAGTAATAGAACACTGAAGAGCAAATACCTTATGCTTATCAGAAGTGTCAAGGAGCTAATTGTAACATAGATATTTTCATGTTTTGAAATTATAAAACTGAAGGTCAAACATTTTTCGTCTGTATAGGAAATAATATATTTTTTTATAATATTTAAGGTATAATGATGAGAATGTTATGTATGAAAATACATAATTTTCATATGCATAATAAATGCACACATATTTAAATATGTGTGCATTCTTAAGAAAAAAAATAACTACTCATGAAACAACATATGGATTTTCAAATTTATTTCTTCACTTTTTAAAAATAGGAAAAATTATTTATCCTTTATATATTATATTGTTTTTAAATATAAGAATAATACAGCTTATCAAACCAGGTTTTAGAGGATACCACTAAAAATTGTTGTCATCATACCCCCTTCAGCCAAATAATCTGTACCATTAACCTGAGGTCTTTAATTCATAAGGGGTTTGGAATGGGGTAGTTAGTAAGCACATACTGTTATTGGACCAATGGCTAAATAAGGAGGTGTATGGTCCATTACACCCAACCACCAGGTTTATCCTTCTCTCTGATGAAGGGTACCCATTGCTGCACGTGTCCAGTGAGGTCTCCAAACTTGGGAGTCAATCCATAGTTAATACAAAAGAATAAATAAATTTTCTGGCAAAGTCACATTTGAACATATGACCCAAGATTCAGGAGTCATGCCATTCACACCTCCATTGAAACCCACTTACAACTGAATCCATAACACGCAAGATTAGAACTAAAAATCCTCCCATTTATTACATCTTCGTTCAGTGAAATAGATATTTTTCAAGATTCCTTATTTATCTAACTCTTAAAACATTTGTGTCTATTTGAATTGCTACAGTGCTATTACTTCGACTTTATTCACCAGCAAAACCTTCTATAATTCCTCATTGTGTATTCTTCTGAAATAATTTTTATTTGGGCCTAATATTTTAAGCAATGCTTGTTTTTTAACAGTAGGTCTGTTTTAAATTAGTTATATTGTTCATACACAACTTGTTTAACCCCCCCTTTTTTTATCTCCACCACATCTCATATATAACTGTTCTGGAAAATAGTTATTTTTTATTTTTCTATCATGGCTTTTTAATCATAAAATTACATTAAAAAGATTTCATATTTTAGGTTTTTATTTGCTGTATAAAAATCCAGAGTTTCTGTTAATGAAACAGTCAATACAAATAAATGTAACCTTCAATTCAGGTTATGGTTCATATGACAGACAAATGTAATTATTTCTTGATCCAAAGAATAGATGTTGAAACCCATAATCATAAAATACCTTCTATAAAAATAATCTAATAATTGGGTCTATTACGTTAAGTTTTCATAATTCTTTCAACATAGGAAGGTTGAGAGATCTAAAAATTATGTTGACCCCACATTTTTTTTTTATTATGTTAAATTTATAATGTACAAACATTTAATTATATTTAATATTCAAGGTCAACAAGTTCAGAAAAAACTTATCTATTTTTTAAATCAATAAACTTTTTACATTCTTGTGTTTATTTTATGAAAACTACCGTACCTTTATACATAAGACAACAAAGTACCTTTATCAATTGCCTTTAAAACAATTCATAAAACTGAAATAAATATTCCTGTTTATTATTTACAATACCTTAAGTATTTTAGATTGCTTGGATTTTTTTTTTAAATTTTCTTTTTAATTTTTTTAAATGTACAATGATATATACAAATTGAGCTTACGTCCACTGAAGTTAAACATCACCATCATATTTTGGTATTTCAATAATACTGAAAAGCAATATCACACAAAATTCATTTAAACTGAAAATTTTTACTAACACCAGACACTTTAATAAATTTAATTAAAAAAAGAAAAAGAAAGAAAAAAAAAACATAGGAACACATTTTACACAATGTAGTACTTACACCTTAAAAAGTAATCAATTATTAAAAATAATAAAGAAAAACAATAAAAAGGCACGCAATTAATGCAAACCTGTATTAATCTACCTTTTGTATCATATAAATAAGTTAATCAGTTACACAACCATATCACGTTTATATTCCTGTTGTGTAATGTCTAGATATGTAATATATAGAAACTAGTGGAGCAATAATTGAAGAATGAATGGTTACATTTAAAATGTGCCGAGTAAAATGTGCTAGCAAATTGTGAAAATTTAATTGACATTTTTTTTTCAAAGTTAACTATTTTTTATTTAAATCAACTTTATACAAATGAAATAAATACATTTATGGAAATAGGAAGAAGCTGTTCAATAATTATCTGAACATTATAGACAGTACTACTATTCTAGGAATAAGTTTTTGTTCAAAGAATTCGAATCAAAACTTTGAAATTTTTTTTTGGAACTTGAAAAATTAACTTTCAAATAAATTATTTGTACAAGATTTACAAAGGCAAATTTCAAGACCCAATAATTAGGAATGTCTTCAGTTTCACAAAGTTTTTTTTTTGATTATGCATTTTTCAAATTCCAACTTGGTGATGTAGTAGACATATACATATATATATAATATACAATGAAAATTAACAAAATGTGTCAAAATAAAAATAAAATTAACTGGAACTTATTTATGCTAAATGGCATAAATGACTGCGAAAAGGCTGATATGACAGTGGTTACAGAATGCTGCACTTAATATCCGTCTTTATATTTTTGTATAATTTACTTTAAAATTTTAAATGGAAATTAAGGGCAGATGTGAGCATAGATAAATATATAATATATTCGCTAGTTTTGAAACTAGAAGGTCACATGTCAGTAACCAATGTCAACACTGCCTCTTCTACTTCCTATCTGTACAAAATGTAAAAAAGCTTCATACACAGGCTATAGTTTTATACATACAATAAATATATATATGTATACATGTTTATATATATAAAAAAATAACATGTGACTCTTTATGTTCAATCCGACATTGAAATATGAACAAAAAAGGGTCAGGAAAGAGATCGAACGCTCATTAAAACTACTTCTATGTCTTAAAAAGGTCTATTTAAAAAAAAATAAAATTAATTGGTGTATATCAATATTTAATGTAAACAAACTAACAGTATAGCACTTTTCAATAATATTCTTATTTACATTGGATTGATCTGTCTATGAGTAAGATTAACTTCAAAAACAATCAACATCACCCAACATCACAACACAGCCTTGTAAGCCGATATACTAGATTGTTAAAAGCCATTCGATATTCTATGGCTAGCTACGACCTCTTTGTAAAAAAACAACTTCAATTATATTAATATCTATAAATATGTACATTATATTTTAAACATAAGACAATATATATTCATTGGCAATCTTTTAGAATATGTACATAACAATAATCTCTATTCTCGACATATTTACAAGTATTTATTTGTAATAAAAGACTCAAACTAAACCCTTAAATTTCTTAGGTATTATTTAATTTATATAAAATTATAATATCAATAGTATAGATACTAACTCAACGGGTTTAGAATGTCACAATATAAACCCCATATATATTATATTTACATGATATAAACAAAATGTACAGTTTCGCTTTAGATAAAACCTATATAAACTAACATTTCCAATATTGAAATGTTTTCATCCTAATAAAGTCAAAGAATAAACATTCGTTTTTAAATATACTATACAGAAATAAATATAACACATTTGTCCAAGAGAACGAGAGAGAAGTAAAAATAGCACTTGGGAAACTTTATTAAAGAGTTGTTCTCCTCAATGATCTGAGGAACTTTTCGATGTCAGCGAGGTAAAAAATTGTCCAGCAAGCACACACAACGAATTTTTAAGTACATAGCACACTAACTTACTGTATATACTACAATTGTTCAACAAACTTCGATAGTTGATCCTGAGGCGTGAGATCGTTGGGGTCTTGCTGGGAGGGTTGGGCAGGGGATTGATGGTGGGAGATATGGGAGAGCATCATATCTGTCGTTGGAGACGGGCCTGGTCGAGGGGAAGGAACAGGCCGAGGGCTAGGGTTTGGCTGTGGTGATCTGATAGGAGGAGGTGACCGCATCATTTGAGGTTGGCCGGTCTGTTGCATGGGTGGGCCCATTACAGGTGAAGCGACAGGTTTACTGCTTACAGCTGAATATTGTCCATCACCGAAGCCTTGGTAACGTACCCCACCAAGTCTAGCCGCTTGTCCAGCTGCTGCTGCTGCTGTCTGATAACCTGTAACATAATGAAACATAATTACTTCTAGGTTTTGAAGGCTTCAATTATTTGTCTAGATTCTATTTGATGTTCATAATTTAGTAAATTTTAATTAGTTTCTTATTAAGTTGTCCAAATTAACCGTATGCTTCTATCAATGTCTGGAATAATGGAGTTCTACTGTGCTTTGATTCAGAGAAAGAATGATCCTACAATAGGACCTTACCTATCTCATTCAGTCTATTTTTGCGAGTAATTGTTGTATTGAACAGAGTTAAGTAAATGTAAACAAGGTTTACGACTCTTTAAACAAGCATTATGTGTACTTTAGACGCAATTAATAATCTTTATTTAACCCTGTCTCTATTATATTTAGCCAAATCTATGTTATTATATAAAAGGAGAGCCTGTTTTATGTCCTTGAGGTCCTTCTTCTTTCTCTTCCTCCTTTGTGCCTCGATCAATGAATATTAGGTTTTGAGGCCCTGTGTTAAAAACTTATCCTTTAGTTGCATTCCTCTTTTCTGCCCGATCTTAGAGATGTAGTCCATCCGTGATAATCTAGGTCTTCCTCTTGCATGATTTCCTGTGGGTCTTGCCTCCATGAATTTTTATGGATGAATTTTATGCATGTTCTTCATTCATACGACAAAAATACCCCAACCCTCTCAATTGCCTCTTTACTAAGGAATCCTTTAGTGAAATAGTGTCTAGTTCTGCCGGTTACCCTTCGAAGATATTTCATTTCACCAGGAGTAACTGCTTAGGTGTTTGCCTAAAGGGACCCAGCTTTCACTCCCATACATCTTAGTAGGTAGGTATACAGTTTTAAAAATATTTATTTGAACATTCTTCTCTACCTCCCTTTTTTCAGCCATTGAAGCAAAGTTTATTGTTGAATAGTTATTTCAGTTTGTAAAGCCTTGGACTTTTTTTAATAAGATTTGTATAGTCAGTACATAATAACAGCACACAATGAACATACACTAACACATATACATATACAGTACACACCATAGGAGCACCTTTCCTGGATGGAGGACCCTAAGGATAAAGGTATGAATTGCCCTCAGTTGTCCCGAGGTCCTCTACTAATGGACCATTCACCTGTTGTTGAGAATAACTGATTTAAAGCAAACAAACTTGTCTCGGATATGGACGGACATATCGGTCCACAACATGGTGCTGGGAAGGAAACCAGAATTGAGATGGTTTTAAGCTATAAAAATCCTTGAACTGACCAATAGAAAGAAAATATATTTTAAAACAGTTTTATGAATAGATATATTTAATTATTACATTATTGTTAGAATCTCATCAGCTTGTTATTATATTTGAGATGCCTGTCATCTTATTTTTAAAGTTAACTATTTATTTTTTTATGATGAACTAATACTTGAATAAAGATTTAAAATATAATATTCATTCTACTCTATTGTTTTTAATATCTCAATCATGGTTACACTAACTCCATCATTACCTGATTAAGAGGGAGTGATTGTGATCACGTCCGGTTATTATAAATCACTTGCTTCCTGGATATCATCTAAGCAAGAATAGAACCAAACGATTACAGCTTATCGCCTAGAACAGCCCCAATGCTGCGATACAATGGCGGAAGTCAAAATAGTCAAGAGGCGTAAAAAAAAAAAAAAAAAAAAAAAAAGAGATGTTGTTTTAATATGCATTCTGATGCACTAATTTCCATTCAAATCTTTGCTGTTTCTGGTGAGGCTGAAATTCGCAATGGTCATCAACAAAGCAGGACAATCATTCAAGTTTGTTCAGCTCATGTGTCAGGACTGATTAGTTGGCCTGTCATCTTATTTTTAAAGTTAACTATTTATTTTTTTATGATGAACTAATACTTGATTACAGATTTAAAATATAATATTCATTCTACTCTATTGTTAAAGTTTTTAATATTTCAGTCATGGTTACACTTACTCCAACATATTCCTGAATAATGCAGTGAAACATAATTATTTATTAACATAGTCTTTGCTAATATTTTTATTAAGAAATCTAATCTAAATAAATATAAGTGGGCTTAGATAAACTTCATCTTATAAAAACACACACCAGTTGAATCAATAAGAGAAAAATGTGAAAGTGATAAAGACCTTTAAGATGCATGCTATTTTTTTAAAGCCAGAGATACAAAATACAATACACAATTAGGCTGTGGAAGGAATATTAAAGTAGAGGGAATATTGTTAGGAACACACTAACCTGGAGGAAATTGTTGCTGTTGCTGCCTCTGCTGCATCGCTAGTAGTTGCTGTTGCTTGTACCAGTTAGGATGATGTGGATTAGGCTGCTGGTTTGTTGGCTGACTAACCTGCTGCTGCTGCTGCTGTTGCTGGCTTAACATTTGCATATGTTGCAGCCTGTTCTGTTGTTGCAGAAGATGCTGCTGAATCTGCTGCTGTCCAACAGTTTGTTGTTGACCTTGACCCCCTCCAGCAACTGCTTGATTCTGCTGAACTCCACCTCCACCAGCAGCTGCAGCTGCAGCAGCAGCCTGCTGTTGCTGAGCTTGCTGGAATGCCTATCCAAATTAATAAACATATCACTCCAAAAACTGAGTGAAAATAAACACTTAAAAAGAATAAATGAGAAAATATCACAGGAGTATCTAAAGTACAGGATGAGCCTGTTATAATCGAAAACCAGTATAAACTATAAAAAATACTCTAATCAAAAGTAGGGGCGTAGTGGTTAATGTTTCAAGAACTCCCATTTTTTTTTTTTTTTAAATTTTATTCACTTATTTCATGGGTTTTTTTAAAACCTTTTTTGTTATTTTTGATTTTTTCTTCCAATATTTCAAGTTCAGATGTTTTAAGATCTCAAGAGCCCATTATTAAAAGAGGACGCATAGTCCACTTACTACTTAATTCACCTCCAAATAGAAAATATATATAGGATAAAGAAAATGAATTTGATCTAGAAGAAATGTAAAATTTAAGTAATAAAACAAAAGTGAAAAGAAGAAAATTGTTAAAGTCTTAGCTATTTAAATATTGCAAATTACATAAATTAAATATATAATGAAATTTGAAACGTCTATGTACATATATCTAATGAAAAAAAAATTAATCTTTTGAAACAATAAAGGCAGACTATAATTGAATGTACAGACAAATTAAGAACATCAAAGGTAATTTCATAATAATCTACTTTTGTTGGTTTTTTGTTCATAATTTCAAATGTTGGACAATACTAGAAAGAAATATTGTATATCTGATTTAATCAATTGGCTGTCTTTAATTAATTGCTTAAGTCTTACTTACTTAATTTATTAAATTAGGGAAAACAAATTGATATTATAAGCATTTTTATGATCTGAGGAAAAAAATTTAATAGTACAAACGATTCAAGACATAAAAAGGTAAGAAAAATGATAAAAGATTTAGTACAATTGACAGCTATACACTATTAGCTTAAACCTCAGGTTTACTTAAAAAAAAAAAAAAAAAATTCAACATCAACCTACCTGTCTTTGCTTTATAAATGCAGCCATCAGTTGCGGATTAGTTTTTAATATATGTAGTATCTGCTGTTGCTGATCAGGAGTGGTAGGATTCTTCAATGTCTGTAGAAGCTGCTGTAGTACTTGCTTCTGGACGGCAGGTGTTTGAGCTTGCCCTCTCATTGCAGGAACAGCAGCAGCACCCGGTGGCATCGCACTACCACCTCCTGGTAACATTCCAGGCCTTTGTCCAGGTGTTGTAGGCATGCCTACCTGATTTTGATACCTAAAATCATACAAAAGATCCTAAATCAGATGAGATACTTTAATACTTGAATATATAGATTGTGATGGATACTAACTATTATTACCAAATAAATAGATAAATCAGGAATGGTTTATAAATATATTATAACTTCATTTAGATCATTTTCTTTTAATTACAAGAGAAAAGGATCTTAAAACATTCAGTTACATTATTAGAGTTATCAAACACTTGTGTTTGAAGTCAACAATGGACTGGTGCTACTAAAAACTCTTAATCCACAAAAAGAACTAGACATGCTCCAAAGCCAGAAGTAGGTTTATAATTGATAAGTATGAGTTCAAGCTGTTTCAAAGTTTTAAAAACAAAAAGAAAAGGCCTGATGATAATGAAACGTATACAAAAATACTCCTAAATCTTAATGCGACGTTGTGTCAAAATTTCAAAGAAATCGGTGAAGAACTTTCGGAGATTAGCTGTTTTAAAACAACCTACCATTTATATTTTTATTTACCTACACTATTTCAAATTTTTATTTATTGGTAACACTAAAGCTCGTCATTAGAAATTAAACAAAAAAAGAAGAAAGAAAATCGGTTGAATAATAGAGGAGAAAAGGGGCTGAGCAGTTTTGTGTGTTGCCTATTTATTTAGAATAATGATTTTGGGAGGAGGCTTCAGCCCGAAAGCTTTTTTTTTTATATACTTACTTACTCCCCGGTGGAAAGAAGTCCTTGATTGGACTTGGAAGAAAACAGGTAAAGAATGGAGGGAATGTACTGGGTTTAGACAAGCCAAGCAATTTATTAAAAGCCCCTCTCCCTCTAAAACAAACTGGCTGCTGGAAGAAATCCGACTCATCATCGGAGTACCAACAGGACACTGCAGACTTAAAAGATCTGTGGGATAGTGGATGATATACTCTGTAATCTCTGCAGAAGAGCACCCGAAACTGACCTTCACTTCATAACGGAATGTGACCGATTTGCGTCACTCAGATACAGACTTCTGGGAGCAGACAGAATCCAAGTATGCAAAGCTGCCTCCATAAAATGGTCCAACCTTTTGAACTTAATTAGAAGAACAAAAAGGTTTGAGGCAGAATAGAGGTACAATAGACAACCAAGTATCAAATTTTGGGGTTGGCAAAAAAGATTGATTTACACGATCCAATTGTTCACATTAAAGGTCTACATTCACAGTTTGTCCAGATTTCAGCACTTCAAAATGAGTAACGCCGGGAATACTCCACCATCCTCATAAAAGGGCCTTTTTGGGGTGTAAACCTGGCTTAACAATACTTCTTAGCAATTCTTTTGGAGCGAGCCACTGCCTTTTGGGTTTTGGATTATCATTCTGGACCCATTGTTCATATTCAGCAATCAAGCACTTCTGTATTGTGTCGTTGAAGCAGTAAGTTGCATATGGTGTTTTCCCAATCTGCTGCAAATGTTCTTGGATGGTTGTTTAAGATTATTTGACAATTCCTCGATTGTCTGACGCTGATTTGTTTTGACTTCTGCCCTTAACACATCATTATTTAATGTTGTTGGTCTTCCTGTTCTATACAAGTCAAAAAGTTCAAAATTACCGGATTTGTACTTCATCTTTGGCATTTATGAAAGTCTACTTCTTGGCAATCCTTTTGGAGTGAGTCACTGCCTTTTGGGTTTTGGATTATCATACAGGGCCCATTGTTCATATCCAGCGATCAAGCGCTTCTGTATTGTGTCGTTGAAGCAATAATTTTTTTTTTTTTTCCCTATGCCTAAGTAACGCCTGCTTCATTAGCCATGCATGCTCTTGCAGTCCAATACAGTTTTGCTCTCCGAGCATAAGGACTGTCCATTTCATTAAAGGAACATATCATGTCCTGTAATGCAGGGCATGTATCAAGATGTCCTCCTGTCATCCTGCTCTATACAAGTCAAAAGGTTCGGACTAAGTCCCCCCACCAGTACTGGTACCAGTACTCTCCTGCGCTACAGGTCTGGTAATCTCTTGGCCTCCTGAATAAGCTTCTGCGACTTGTTTCCATCTTGTGCCTCTCTCATCCAGAAGTGGATTGCCAGTCTTGAAAAGTCTTTATCCATCTCATCCTGGGTCCTCCTTTTCTTCTTTTGCCCATGAAATTAGTCTCCACCAATCGTTTTTACAATCTATTACCTCTCATTCTAGCAACATGTTTTGTCCACCTCAGCTTTCCAGCTTTTATAAAGTTTACAACGTTATCATTTCTCAACAAAAGTGTCAATCTCTGTGTTGTTTCTAACTCTATACAGACCATCCACTTGTTTTGTGCCATAAATATTTCTAATGATTTTTCTTTCAAAAACTTTAAGTTTCTGGCAATCTTCTTGTGACAAGCATTAAGTTTCTGCACCATATGTATGACGACTGGTCGAATAAGGGACTTGTACAGTTTAAGCTTTAATGATAACAATTGAGACTTGAGTAGTTTGAGGTTGGGATAATAGGCTCTGATTTCTAGCATCAATATCACGACTAATGATATTTTTATTATGTAATAAAGAACCCAAATAAACGAGGTTTCCTACAGTTTTAAAGGTGAAGTTTAGAATTTTTATGTAATTCGAGGATTTCCTAATTTCGAACACAGACATTTTAAAGCATTTTGTTTTCTCTTAATTCATCCTTATATCTATTTGAGACTATTACTTCCAGTGTTTCCTGCAATTGCTACTTCACTTCTGGAAATGAGAACAAGATTGTCCACATAAGCAGAAAGTTGCCAAGTTTTATTGACTTCCACTAGTTTCACTTTTGACATCTTTAACTGCATCATGCAGGGCTATATTAAATAATGTTGCGGATAGGACATCTCCTAGCCGCACATCAGAGTGCACTTCAAACATATCTCCTACTTTACAACCAGTCATAACTGTGGAGAAAGCGTCAACCAGTCATCCGTATCTAGTTAATTAGTTTAATGGAGATTTATTTTTTTAGAAGGATTTTCAGCAAACTATACAAGTTAAAACCATCAAATGTCTGCTTATAGTTATAAATAGGATGTGCAGGTCAATGCCATATTCATATGATTTTTCCATTGCTTGTCGGAAAATAAAGATTTGGTCTGTGATACCTCTACCAAATCTGAATACACATTGATAACCCTCAAGTATTGCCTCAGTGTACTTCCTGAATCTTATTAGACATCACTTTGTATAGTACTCCTAGCAATGTGATAACTCTGTAATTCGAGCACTGGTTTTTGTAATTGTTCTTAAAAATGGGGTATAGTAGTCCAACTGTCCATTCCTTTGGCACCACCTCATCGTTCCACACATCACACATTAATCCATATATGAGATCCTTCATTATATTACTGCTATTTTTTATGAATTCCGCAACAAGTCTGTCTTCCCTGAGAGCTTTCCAGTTTTTCAAATCACGGATAGCTAATGGTTGTGGATAAAATATCAATTTGTTTTCTTCTACTTCCTAATATCATCTTCATTCTCCTGTATGTTTAGCAATTCCGAGAAGTGTTCAGTTCATCTTTTCAAAATCTCTTTTTCTCCGTCCAATTTATCTCTTTGTAAAATTTGATATTTGATTGCCATTTCACACCTCATTTTGTAAACCAATGTTGTGGCCATGATATTCTAAAACTATAGTAACTTCTTTAGGTGTAAATAATTGAATCAATTTTTATTTTTATTTTTTTTTGGAATTTTTGGTTAAATGGCTAGCCAAATACCAGAAGAGGTACATATCCAACCATGTAACATAACAGTTGGTACAAAAAATATTTGCAATGTTTATTTAAATGCATTAGACTTTCATAAATGCCAAAGATGAAGTACAAATCCAGTAATTTTGAACATTTTGACTTGTATAGAACAGGAAGAACAACAACATTAAATAATGATGTGTTAAGGGCAGAAGTCAAAACAAATCAGCGTCAAACAATCGAGGAATTGTCAAATAATCTTAAACAACCGTCCAAGAACATTTGCAGCAGATTGGGAAAACACCATATGCAACTTATTGCTTCAACGACACAATACAGAAGCGCTTGATCGCTGGATATGAACAATGGGTCCTGTATGATAATCCAAAACCCAAAAGGCAGTGGCTCGCTCCAAAAGAATTGCTAAGAAGTATTGTTAAGCCAGGTTTACACCACAAAAAGGCCCTTTTGTGAGGTTGGTGGAGTATTCCCGGCGTTACTCATTTTGAAATGCTGAAATCTGGACAAACTGTGAATGCAGACCTTTAATGTGAACAATTGGATCGTGTAAGTCAATCTTTAATAATTGAAAAGTGGCCAACGATAGTCAACAGAAGAAAAATTCTGGAAAAATTAATGAATTGGGGTAGAAGATACTGCCTCATCCAACAAACTCCCCCAATGTGTTGCACCATTGAGGGTCAAGTGCTGGGGCAGTTTGAATGATATTAAGGAGACGATGGAGATGGAGGTTTATATTATGGTGAAGACCATTTTATTTTCTATTGCTATTTAAGTCACACATTTGGCATCATTAGGCATGAGGATGCTAGAACGGGCAACGCCCCAATACACTCGGCCATCATGACCTCTAGAAAGAGCAATGTATTCCCCAGATGTTTTCCGTAATTGTTGGCCTTTTAATTACAAATGACGCTTGATTTTCAACTTGAAATTTGTTTGACGGAAAAATGGACTTCATTCACTGGTGTTTTTTATTGCCTAAGCCAATAATTTTTTTAATATTTGTTTATGTTTTATTATTTTTGACTATCCAGATTTAATACAAGGCCAATTGTGACGAAATTAAACCAAATTCTGATAGGGAAATGAAAAAAAAAGAAGCTATCACAACCCAGGAAGGGTCTTGGGTTCAGTACTCTTAAAGGAAAGTAATGTTTCTTGGTCAACAGTTGAGTAAGGAGGTGATTTGACCGAGATCATGCTCAACTGCCAGATTTTTTTTCTCTTAATTATTTAATTAAGAGTACCTATTTTATAGAGGCTGGGTGTGCCTCAGGACAATCTCCTGATCAGGGTCATCTAACAGCAGATAAAACAGAATAAATAATTTTTGACCTTGAACACTGGAAGCTCAGCATCCTATCACTGAGCTACACCACTCCCAGAGTGATGCCAAAACATGAGGAAAAGTTTATCTGCATTCAGAGTAAATGCCAGTGGACTCAGATAACGCCAGAAATTCGTGAAGAAGTAAATACTGTTAGACAGAAGCCTGTGTCCATCAGTACTGTCCAATGTCGACTTTATGATTATCTGAGTATTGAGTGTAGCTGCAAGAATATTCTTATTAAGAAGACAAAATAAACTTTAACAATTACAATAGACCAAAAAACTGGTCTGTGGAACAGTGGTCGAAAGTGTTGTTGTTCACTGATAAATCATCAAATTTGAACTTTTTGGAAGTAAATGTAGGCCGCATGATAAATCAATGTATAATACAAACTGTAAAGCATGTTGGGGGTCAGTTACAGTTTGGAGATGTTTTGCCAGCAACAAAGTTGGTGATCTTGTCCGAACAGAGGGCATTATAGATAAAAAACAACATAACAGAATTGTAGGTCAAGGATTTGTTTTCCAGCTCGATAATGATCCGAAACATTCTTCCAAATTGTGTAGAAACTACACTGAAACAAAAGAAAAAAAAAAAGTACTTAAACACAAGGTATGGTCAATCTCCTGATCTCAATCCTATTGAACTGTTGTGGGATGAGCTAGACAGAAACGTTTGGAAGATACAACGTACCAATCAAAACAAACTTTGAGAATCTTTACAGAGCTGCTGGAACCAAATCCCGCCTAGAACTTAGCAAAAAATAATAAAAAGAATACCAAAAATACGCAATTCGCTGATTAAGGCAAAAAGGAGGCATTTTGGAGAATCAAAAATTGGACAATATTTATAATTAGTAAATAAATTTATAGTTCTGGTGTAATAATTTAACTATATTTATCAAAATAAAGTCGATTTATTATTATTTGAGACATAAAAATTTTGTTATTCATTTATTTTACAAAATATAAAGGTGAGGGTAAACATTTGACCGGTACAGTATATACAGTCTCGGTCATGAAAATTGTAGCACCCAGTAAAAATTTTATTAAAATTACCAGATTGCTACTACAAGATTTCCAGCTATTTCTTTGCCAGTTATGAAACAAGATTCTAAAAACATTCCTTTCTTTCACTCCATGGTGTTTTTTTCTTCTTCAATACTATGACTGCTGTTAATTGTGGTGGTACCCTATCCTTATTATTATTTTCCATAAAAATTCCTTTACTTCATGTAATTTCACAATTTTAATATTTTTTGTCAAAGACAGTTTTTGAAAAAGGTCAAAAATATAGCTTTTATCCTGGCATTAGTTATAAATGAACTGAGAAAAATTGTTAAAGTTTACTTGTAACCTTGATAAGTAAGGAAAAAAAGATAATATTCAATGGAATCAATGTTATTAGCATATGAATCAAAAGAAATAGGTGATGAAATTTCTATGACCGCGACTGTATTTATCAAACATCCCATATTATTTCTTCTACTCTTAGTACTCAATATTCCTAACTGTACAAGCCAAAAAAAAAAAAAAAAAAATCATTTTACAAGGAAGTGAACAAGAGTTGGCAAAAGCGACAGGCAGCGGGAAAAAAATGGGAATGTTTAACAGAGGAGCCGATGAAACAAACCAAAAATCGGAAAGAGCGGTGGCAAATTTCCTCATGGCAACAGGACACGATTACCTGCAAAGGCATTTATATAGGATTGGAGTGGTAGAAAGTCTTGTGTGCCCTCTTTGCCAACAGAACGAGATGTACGACCTGCACCTCTCAGTTCGCTCCACTCTATCAGATGTCCGCAGTACTTCTGATGCGATCGGAACAAATTTAAACAAAGGATTCATGGCGGAGTTGTTTTGGGCTGCCAGGAGCCGAATGGCCTAATAGCCGACGGCAGAGGCGTTTAATAAAAAAAAACCTTTACTATTGGTTAATACATAAAGAAATATTTTAAGAATTACAGAAGTAAAAATGTATAACTTATACTGTTAGTAACTAACATAGAACACATACCTTGTTGTTGTCCATTGCTCGATAGGAGGAATGAGAGGAGGTCCGGGCACTTGCTGGATACCCCCTCGCTGGCCAGGAGGAGGCATAACTTGCTGCTGAGGAGCAACTTTTCCTGGGTAACTGAGGGCTGCCTGCGGCGCTTGCTGCCTCGCTGCTTCTTCCTGAACCTTTAGAAGCAAAAAGTAATTAAAAATATAAAAACAGATTTTTAAAAATTCATTTTAATTTTTTGAGAATCTGAATATTACACTTCCCCTTATAATGATATAATAAAACAAAAATAATGTTAGAATAGAGGTTTAATGCTGATTACACTAGGAGTGTAAATTATTTCTCCCCTCCTCCTAAATGATGAGGCTTAATCCTTTGACTGCGGACGGCATACATGCCTTCCCGTTAAGAGTTGGATCACTGGTGCGGACAGGATACATGCCTTCCCGTTAAGAGTTGGATTACTGGTGCGGACAGGATACATGCCTTCCCGTTAAGAGTTGGATCACTGGTGCGGACAGGATACATGCCTCCTTTGTAGTGAGTTGGGTCACTGGTGCGGCCGGGATATATGCCTTCCCACCTGGGTGGTTGTCACTTAAACAGGTAGGAACAAGTCCCGTCTTCACCATTGGATTTGTGGCTTGGTCAGTGCATTCATTAGTCTACTGTAGCTGATTTGGTGTGGTAGTTCAGGATTCTGACCATCTGGAAGCTATCAGTTGCAGATTAATTCTGAACCCAACCCAACCTTTCTCTGTTATTTGTGTCATATCCATGATCTTATTTATATTCTATTTAAATGTTCTATACGTCAAATAAGTGTTAATAAATTAATTTTATAATCTTTTTAATTTGGTTCTGACTGTATTTACTGCTGATTTTAAACGTGAATCTCTATCTACTAACCAAATAAATGTAAAAATATACAGAACTAAAATGATTTTATGATCATTTAGAGTTATTTTATGACAATGTTCAATTTTTTAAAAATGAGAAAATACGCGAGAAAGCAAAGTGTTGCGGGATTGCCGCTCTGATATTGCATTGTAATAAGCTGCCGGGAAGGCATATCTTGTTTTTCAAAAATTGAAAACATTAAAATGCATTTTTGAAAGCTCAGACTTTGCAGTGTGAATCAAAGTAGCATTTTAAACAAATTTATGCCCGAAAAAAAATTCTTTTTTTTTTTTTAAGTCTTTGTGGATTTCAGGATATGGTAACGTATGGTAGAAACCTGCAAATGAGCTACTGCAGACAAAGGGTTAATTTTGTTCTTCTAATCACATCACAATATCCTATGCACCCTGACTAATTTAGTGTAAATCATCTTTCTTAAAAGTTGATAGTATCTACTGGCTATAGCTTGATGACATGATACTAATCATATTATATAACTTCAATATCAAGTAGATAATTCAAGGTCCTTCCCAATAAGGTTTTTTAACTCTGGCATTAATCCTCGCCCTCACCTCTGGCCAGGGAAAACCCTGTATAGCCTAAAAGGTGAGGAACAAAAAAAAAAGTCAATTATCTCTATACCAGTAAGATCTCTAAGTACCTCAATCTTTAAATATTATTTCTCGGAGGTTTTTTTTTTTTTGGTTGGTATGCCATATCATCGTTAATTCTTCATCAAATACAATGATTAAACATGCATTTTGAAGATTTTCTTCTCGCTCAGGTTGGAAAAATAGCCACAACCCTTCCCCCTAAATTTCAGGAAAAAGTATAAATTTTCCATCTTAAGATAGGTTAAATTATTTTGTTTCCTTATTATTTTGTCAGTTTTTTACCAATATTTTATGTGAATTAATAGTATAGGCCCAACTAAATATTACATAATCACTTATAATTTTTTATTCCAAAGAAGCAGGTTCAAGTGAAAGACAATGATTTGGTGGTAGATCAGGTTGCATTATATGACACTTAATTTCATGAGCGTTCTTTCGTTATTAAATGTCTTACATTAAACAGCCATGGGTTCATCACTAAACTAAGCACAGAGAATCCTATCAACCGACAACAAACATTATATTCAAGGAATAGATTATATTATATTAATTTATTAAACCCAATGAAAAATGGTAACCCATGAATAGAATATCTCTTAACTTAAGCTGCAGTACCATCAGCAAATACAATAAAACATTAAATGTTGTAAAACAGCTAATGTAATAAGTATCATATAATTCTTATGTTTAAATAATGTACAAGTAAATTATGAAAAATGCAGAAAAGCATAGGATAAAGAATGCGATTTTTAAACATAACAAACTTCAGATAATTACCAACACCTGAATCTTATCTATAACATGCAGTAACAATGTTTCACAAATGATGAAAGAGAAAAATTATAAGCTTAGGAAAGAGAAAGAAAGAAGAGGATACCTGTTTGACAACCTGTAGGACGTTGGCAGGAGGGGTCTGAGAACCAGGCTTGAGACCAAGTGACTGGTGAGTTGGCTGGGGGGCCATGAGGGCAGGGGGTCCGGCTCCACCAGGGCTCACGGCCCCCCCACTTAGACCCCCACCACCACCGCCCCCTCCACCTCTTGTTGTATTCATTACGGCCATTCTTCTCCTGAGAAGCTGGGCTTGTTGGAGGCGCTGTTGCAACTGTTGCTGCTTCATCTTGTGCTTGATATTCAAGCAGAAAGGCACTGGACACTTGGTTTCCTACACAGAAAACATACAATTAATAAAATCTATTAAGGAAATCTATATAAATAAAATGTTGAAAATCTATATTTATATAAAAATAAATTGTCTATTTGTCGTTTATGTATTACTAAAGCATTTATCCAATCGCCATAAAACTTTCAAAAGTTGTCGCATACACTCCTGTGAAGGTTTCGGGCATAGTACATATATGTAAATGTGGCATGTAATTTTATATATGTAAAAAAAATGTAAATGTTCATTTGTTCAAAACCGCTAATCTCTGAAAGTTTTCCACCAATTTCTTTGAAATTTTGAAAGTAGTTGCAATCAAATTCAGGAGTGTTTTTACGAACATTTCATTACCATCCGACCTTTCGTTTCAAATTGGCAGCTGAAAAACGAGTGTAGCTACAGGCTGTCATGACAAAATGGCTGTAAAATTTTTAATAAAACTTGCCTAAAGTCTTCCCCTAGTAACTCTTTTAATTTATGTATATAACATAATTTCCTGAAGACAAGCAGCAAAAAATGTTATGATGAATTCAGAATTTTATTTGCGAACAACTCAAGAAGTACACAATTTTTCCTGAATCATACCCATAATTATTTGAATACTTACTAATTCTCTACAAATAAAAAAAAAATGATCAAAATTAGATGATTCGGTGCAGAGATATGACCTTTTAAAAATTGCAAATACCATTTACTTTTATTTTTTGTTTTTGATTAATTGAAAATTTTATAATCACTGAAGTAATTGAGATTATCATTTGAAGAAGTTATACAATTCTCATTATGTAGGTCACTATGCTTTTTATATTCATATTTACATTTTCCCCCAATGTGTTTCGGGAAGTATTATAATACATCTCAAATAATTGATATGCAATTATTTAAAAATAATGAACTGTTGAGTAATAACTATCACCGTTAATGTTCTAGATTGCTTGATTGATTTGAGAAATTGATTTTTCATATATTTCTGTTTATTTTATTTTGATTAAACTATTTTCTGTAACATTACATTGGAATAAGGCTGTGCCATTTACCGTGGGGTTTATTTCTCTACTAAAATTTTTATAACTTTATATTTAATGAAGTTGTTTTTAAGAAACCGACAATCAAATATCTTAGGATTGAATATGCGAAATCTTTCGAGGGAGGTAAAAGACAGCTCTAATATACATGAAATGGACACTATGGTAAACGGTATAGCTCAATTTCAATGCAATGCCACATTTAATATTTGTAAATCTGTGAAACACTGAAATGGTATCAGAAAAAAAAATCTGGTGTGCAGTAAATGTATTTAAGGTTATAAACATATGATTTATCCATCCATAAAATATTTTTATATTTCACTTCTTTCACACAAGTACAATGAAATATTTTTTAAACAATATTATTGACTTGATTAGGTGGATTTTAAATACTTTTTTAGACTAAAAAAATTTTTTTTTTAAAGGTTTACATCTAGTTCGTAAATTTCATTTAATTTCCTTGAGAACATGTGATTTACTTTAAATAATATTAGTTTTCTGAAATTATTATTTACATATTTTTCGTCATTCTCTGTTACCTTCTACAACTTTCTTTATTAGATATTGTTTTTTCAAAAAGTCTCGGCATTCCAATGATAAATAAATTAAATGTGTACTTTCTGACTATTTTTTCCTCTCCTTTATCCAATATTCAAATTCTTTCAAAACTTATATTATGTCTTTTTTTAATAATTCCTAACATTAAGAGATAGTTAATTACTTAAAATAAACCAGAATTAAAGGTACTTAGAGAGGAAGACAAAATGAACATCAGGCATTTAAGCCCCATTAAGTGACATCAATAGGGATAAGAGCTAAATGATATTAAAGATTACTTAATTATACATTGATACACCGAGTTAAACCAAAATCATTAAGAGCCGTTTTCGAGAAAATCGTAAAAATGTGTTACATCGATGATATAAAGTGCCACTTCCGGTAAGCCGATTTTGACAAAAAGTTCCTGTAACATCTCAGATATATACAAACCTTAAATATGCAATTTTACTTTTACAGGACTTCTAGAGCTTGACTGATAACATAAACATAGACCATTTTGTGTGAATTAATTATTTGGACTCAGGGGACCTTCGCTCCATTTCTGTTGAAAACTCAGATTCGAAAAATTTCATGGTCGCAATACTTTTCTATACTATATATTAAATACATAGACAAGTGAAAGTAAAAATGTAAGATGGTCATGTTTAGTTTTAAAGATCACCCTGGTACAATCTATGACTGCAAAATCAAATATGAAAAAACTTCAGTCCAGTATTCTTGGAAAGAAGGTGCAGATGATGGATTTTTTTATTCAATTTCTATTTCCTATATAGCCTTAAACATTGAACCTCAAACTAAGTTTGAGCCTAACAATTATTTTTTTCTTGATTAATTTCAAAGTTTGTTCATTTTGAAAATAATAAACTAAAACTTAATTAGAGAAAACTTAGGGCCACATCAAATACTAAGCAACATTAATTCTTGACTCAATAATTTATAGATAAAGAAATTGAACTCTATAATAGGTCAAAGAAGATCCAAGGAAAGATAAACATATGTAGCTTCTATTGCCACTTTTATCATTAAAAAGATATAGTAAATTTCAAGTGATGACAACTTACTTGACAATATTTAGCATGGTAACAACAGAGTGCGATGAGCTGTTTACAAATAGGACAATTGCCATTAGCCTTTCTTTGGCAAACTTTTGTGTGCTGAACTACACGTTTCATTCTCTGGCAACTTGGTAACCTACAGTTCGCATCTCTGCATTGACATGCGTGAACCAATGATTGAATACAACGTTGAATAGATAACTTCCTAGCCTCCTGTTGGAGAAACAAAAATAAACACACAAACATTAAATATATTCGGTTCTAAAACAATAAAACTAATGTGTTACATTAGTCAAATAAATTATAATTTCTAAAAAAGGAAAAACAAAAGTTATGAAAATATTGATTGATACCTGAGGATTAGCTTGTTTCTGATCTGCAGGTGATGACCCATCATCGATATCTAAACCAAGTTTTTCCATCTTATGTGGATGTCCATCTTTTTCGAAACAAGTCACACATAAATCAAAATCCTGAAAAAATAATAGACATTTATTAATGCACACTATTCTTTGTTATTTTAAATAATTTCATAAAGTAAAGTAACAAGAATACTTACATCACATACTGTACAATGATAACGAGTTTCAACATGGGCTTTACAGTTATTACAAGTGTAAACAAATTTGTCTTGCCCTTGATTATGGAGCTCGTACAGCATAGCCATAGATGAATATTTTGCTCTTCGTAATGAAGAAAACTCATAATGCCTTTCTCGGGCCATTGTTAAGAAAGCATCACGGCCATCCATCAGGTCACAATTAATGAAAGGATCTGGATCTTGAATTGGCTATAAAATAATGAAACAAGTTAAAACATATAACATGGAAATTTATTAATTGTAGCAATTACTAAAAACAAAGAAATCAGCATAAGTTGTTCAAATTTCATTTTAACAAGGCAGTTATTCAAAATGGGCAGAAAGTGATAACCCGATAAACTTTATTTCGATCAATGCAGATTTAAATATACAATTATATGTCTACAACTCAAAAGTATAGATAGAGCACTTTTTTTTTTTTCATTAAAAGCCACAGCCTGCTGGACTTATTCAAGGTTTTAATGCGGCCTGCAGAACTCAGTAGAGGTCTCAATGTGGCCCACAGGTTAAAAAGTTTGGACCCCTGGTATAGAGTATCATGTCACATTCCTTCAACTTTACAAGAGAGTAGTTCGAACAAATATACCCCTCAAAATGAAAGGGTACTTAATTTTCTTTTAAATGGATATAACTTACCTTACAACTGGTCAAGGACATATGTACCTCTGGGTAAAGTAAAAAAGTTAAGTACAAATGTGTAATGCTGAACATGCTGCCTACTACCTACTAGCCCGGGGTGTCAATATGGAAAAAATATTATTACCCACCTAAAATCTATGACAGTGTAATATGAGCCTTTCAGTTGACAGAATGACTAAATCCAATTTATGAGTAGTCATTTTAATGATATTTCTATCTAATTGGAAAATTTATAACATCTATACAGAAAGTGAGTAAGTTGATTTCAGAGTAAATGATTGCAGTACTGAAATATAGAATTGTGAATAAAAGTATACATTTTTCCATTATAAATATCACTAAAATTAATAATAAAAAATGTTGAAATTGGAGTTAGTCATTCTGTCAACTGAAAGGCTCATATAATAATTAATGTAAACAAATGCAAAGGGATCATAATGCCTTGAAAATTTAAAATTTCCAACATCCATAATTTTTTGGAAATTCATTCCACCCTTTTAGCATTTCCATACTTCAATTAGTTAAAATTGAAGAATAGTTGATTCCATACAGCATGAGAAATGGTAAGCACAAACTTGAGTTAAATCTTTATGTGATAGCTTTTAATTGACTTTCTATTCTTGAAGAAAATGTTTGGCCACTTGATCTCACAGTGACACTGCTACATCAACTGCTAGGATTCCTAATTAAATATTAATTTTACTGAAGGTGACAGTTACTGTCAAGTAACAAGCTTGGGACTTCTAATTAATTGCTGAATAGTTTATTCCGCAAACAGTGTTGCATAAACATTTGTTTTAGTTCTATTATATCTGCACATCTTATCTAATCTTATTTCTAACTAAAATACTAGACTAAACTAAATAACATTTTTATAAACTCAGAGCAGATGAACAAACGGTTGTTTCACATAGAACGCAAAAACAAGAATGAAAATGGTTGAGACAGCCAGAGAAAAGCCGTAGTAGTGCTCGAAACACGCCTTGGTGATGACCCACATTTTTGGGTTGAAACGTTTGCACCCATAAAAACATTTAAAATGGCTGCATGCTGAATATTTATCATACATGGTTTGTAACTATATTTTAAAGAAAAATGAAGATGAAAATAATCAAGTGTAGAATCGATTCAGTTAAAAGAATTAAATTTCTCATCTCAAGTAACTACCTGCTACGGCTTTTCTCTGGTCAACTAACTTCCTTCAATAATTTATAATAACAAGAATTCTCAAACCTTATGGTTGTTCAGGCAAAAACATTTATTTATTTTTTTAACTGATTGAAATCAAAATTCTTGGTTCAAATATATATAAATAAAAGTCATAAATCTTGTAAATAGGAAGGGAGTTTAAATTGGAAAGATTTTTTTTTTTAAATATTAGATTTTGGTCAGTGAAATTAAATATAATTTTATTATCCTGAGACTGATGACCCTTTAGAACAAATTATAAATAAAAAATCAATAAAACATGACGGTATGGCCATACATTAAATTAAATATTTACATAATAATAGGTAATTAAAAATAAAAGAGAAAAAAAAAGTACACATATATACATAAAACAAAGAGGCAGAAAAAAATAAATAAATAATCAAAACAGTAATGTAAATAAGCTTAGGTTATAAATGTCCAAAGTGCGAAATGGGCATGGAAGAATAGATTCGGAAATTAATCAAAACAACGCAACTAACATTGGAACACAACTGGAAGATTTTCTAAAACCAACCCGGTGAATCGACCAATTCCAAGTGAATCGATTGATTCCTATTGAGTCGGTGAATCGAAAATTCCAACTGATTCACTAAGAAATTTTCCTGTGTCGTGTAGCATTTTTTGTAGTTATTTTGATAACTTTTGGAATCTATTATATTATATACAATATTTATATATGTATAGAGTTTTTATTTATACTCTTATTTTTAATAATACCTATTGAATCAACCGATTCAGAGTGAATTGGTGATTCTTTCGTGTGAATTACTTGAAAGTACTATTCTTTCAGAGGAATCGACTCTTTGATTTGATTCTAGAGTCTATTTCTAGTAGTTACTCTTAACGGTTCATAAATTCTACAAAAAAAGATAAAAATAAATCCCCTCGCTATAGGCTCTAGTTAGATACATTATTTCACTAGAAAACCATTAGAATGTAGCAAGTTCACCGTGGCTATATCTGACATTAGCAAATGGAAAAAAAAAGCAGTGGAACGTCTATAGCTGACATTAGCAATGAGGGTGACTATAGCCATCTTTAGCAGTTAAAGAGTTAAACATAAAAATAATTGAAAGATTTCTCATCTTTAATAAATACCATAAAAATAAATTATGATAAACCCAAGAGGTAAATCAGCAATCTATCAATTATAATAACAAAATGTATTCATTAAAATCTGAATAAAGAGAAACATAATAGAATTAATTATAAGCTATTGACTTACCGCTAAGCTGGCAGCACTTTGAGCAGAATGTAGCCTAATAACAAAAAATACTTCTTTGTGTTTTTCCATAGTAGCAAATATTTTAGCAGAGAGATCATTTCCGGTCTGAGGAGTATTTGATTTTTTACTATTTGATTTCCTCTGATTCGCTTTTGATTTATTTGATTTTTTGGCTTTTTTCTGCCCTTTCTTTTTACCATCAGGTCCAATTTCATTTTCTTCCTGAAGAGAAAAAATCTAACAAAGAGAGAAAAAAATTGGTTAGGTTAAAATAACTCAATATAATTTACATGCCTTAAAAGATTTATTTGTTTTAATATAAAAAATAAATTCAATTGTACATTATACAAGAATAAATGAAGAAATGAGTGATTATCAACTTTCAAAACTTAATTAAAAAAATTATATATAGTATGTTTGTGTGTTTATATATATATATATATATATATATATATATATATATATATATATATACTTTCTTCTGTTCATTTATCCTAATTTTGGTGTCTTGAGGTTTTATTTTTATATAAATTAGCACTTTTTATATAAGTTACTCTATCAGTCCCTCCAGAAATGACGTAGGTAAAACCCCTATGACCATGACAATTTGATGTTCACTGAACATATTATTTGCAACATTAATGATGAATATATATCTGAGGACTCATGAAGACTTGAAACTGACCCTTAGTATGGTCGAAACGTCGAATTATATAGCGTATCAATAAAATGTTTGGTGATAATTGGCCTAATTTATATATATATATTTTTTTTTTTCGATTGGCGCTACAGACCATGAAGATCTTTGACTGCGAGTGTGGTCTCCTAGATCACATCCCAATTCCCGATTCAAAGAAAGGGGTAGGGTCATCAATCCTACTCCCAGGCGTTGTGAGTTGCCTCCAGTAGAGTGACAGGTCTCACCAAGCGGGGGGAGGGGGAGGAATCTCAGGCAGCGTGGCTTTCCTTGGTTGAACGCGGTCACCCATCCAAGTGCTAGCCACGCTCGGCATTGCTTAACTTTGATTACCTATAGCAAGCGCCTTAGCTCACAAGGCTACTCCAGCCCTCCCATACATATATATATATATATATATAAAATTTCATATTTTCTTGTTTTTTCACCCTTCATATGGTGGTTGATGATGATAACAGAGTAAATCCAGAAGAGTTTTAAAAATATTTTCTTATTTTGTTTATAATTAGTTTGAGGTATATTTGAGAGAGCTTGCAGAGAGAAATACTTTATTAAAAGTAATGCTGCCCTACTAAATGGAGTTGCTCCATACATAGCATACTTATCAATCCATATGGACGTAACTATTACATTACATTTTTCTATTTTTAAAAAATATATTTACACATATCTTTCCTTTCTTTTTTTTCTCTCCCTTTTTATTACACTATTCCTATAAATTATCAACAATAAACCATATCAAGCTATAAACATTGCATAACAAAAAGTTTATTTAAAAAAAAAAATAATTCAAATGCCATGAATTCAACACTACGCACACATATATACCAAAGTAATTCCACTAATGTAAATAAAAAGATGGTGATAAAAGAAAAATTTTAAATTGAATAAATAATTAATAAAATACATCCTTAATTACTATATAAATGATAAGTCGATGAACCCCAGGAATCCAAAATAATATTCTCGGCCAATATCGCAAGCTCCCCAACATCAATACCTAGTTCCTCGAGGAAGCTCGCTCCTTGTTCTTTTTGGGATTGTTCCGAGAGACCCAAACCAGAGGCCTCTTATGGTGAACACTCACTCTTCTCTCTCTCTCTCTTTCTCCAAAGGTCTTGTGGAATTTCTCTTTTAGGAAAGGGATACATTTGTAGTATATGTTCTTCTTTACTCTTTCCACTTCACTCGCCTGATCGAGGTCATTGCTCTCAAAGCAGGCAGTTGTTCCAAGATCAGCGCTGTCCCTCCTGTCCTGGGAAACACGACAATATTCGCATACCTTGTAGAACCTTCACTGTCTAAGCAATAGACCTCGTCAAAGTAGGTGAATTCCTTTTCTCTAAGGAGTCTCATCACATCGAACTTGAACCTATGGTGACGGTGTGTTATGAGGAGGGAGTTGTTGGGACATTTCCCCACCACATGGGCTGGTGTTTTAGACTCTCTGGCACATTTACAACAGAGGAACCCAACTTCCTTCGGCTGTCCACTGGTTCCTGGGACTCTTGAATGTGAGTAATTGATGTTTAGTTTTAAGGTGTTGGACCATTCTGACCCTGAAAGCATGTGTTTCTGGCATATGTATTTATTGGCCTTCGGGGTTTCTTTAAAGTGTCTAACTCCAACGCTTTGCCACCTGCAGATGGCCCATTCTTCGAAATTTTATAAAATTAAAATTTTATAATTTATATGAAGGAATCAAAATCAATTAATTAAACATTGCCTCGAATGAATGGCCTGTTAAATTAGAATATGTTACTTACAGCAGCCTCGGCAGCCTCCGCCTGTTTCCTTTTTTCTTCTTCCTGCTGGTCGAGTTCTTTGATACTTTCTTCGAGAACATTTGGCCAAAAATCACCTTCAAAATATGGCAGTTCAGCAGCTGAATTCAATTTATCTTCAATAGCTTGTTTTAATATATCCTATAACAAATTAAATTATAATCATTAAAATGCGCAAACACTAAGAGTTCATAATATATTTGATACATATAGGTGATGTTGAAATTTAAAATTCCCAGTTAAAGACTTTCTCCAAAAATAAAAATTATCTATATTTTTTTATATATACCCTTATAAATCGATGCATACCGAACATTTTTCCTACTTTTTAAAATTTATACATACCTACAAGCTGTAGAATTTACGATGTTTTAATTTTAATACATTTGGTTCCTTATTCTAAATGAAAGAAAAATAACTGACTAAATTTAAAAATTAAAATGACAAATTTAGTATTTCTTTAATATAAATACTAAAGAAACCAGTCACAGATATATATTAATGAAAATACCTGCCAAGTAGAGTCGTAAATAAATAATAACTATATTTCTATTAGTTACATAATTGTTTATATTTCAAGGTCTATGATTTGTCGCTTGAGAATAAAATCTACAATAGAAGTCATTATTGAAGTATTCTCTTGCCAAGGAAAAACACGTAGACATATTGACAAAAGATAATAAGTTATCAGAAAATATTAAAATTGTGACGTTACATGAAGAGAAGAAACTTTCATGGGAAATAGTAACAAGGATTTAATTACCAATAACGGCAGCCATAGTTTTGAAAAATAAAACAAGTTTGTCTCCTTAATGGTGCAATTGTTTTTAGATTATCGAGAAGAAATATTCAGAGATATTGCAGATAGCAATCTGGTAATAATAATAATAATAATAATAAGGCTTAGCGAACCCGAAGGTTCGATGCCGACACCACCAATCGCTTGTTACACACCTCCCTCCACCGTTCGCCGTCCAAACCCAGTTCCTTCAGATCAGCTTTAATGCAATCTTCCCACCTTTGTTTCGGTCTATCCCTCGGACACTTACCATTCGGCACAGCAAATATTAACCTTTTAGGAATTCTCTCGTTACTAAGCCCAACAACTTTACAAGCCCATTTGATTCGCCGCGATGAAATTACCTCAATTATATTACCCGGGTACAGCTCACACAATTCGGCGTTGTGTAACCGTCTGAACTCTCCGGTTAACTCATCCTTCTTCGGTCCGAATATTCTACGCAATACTTTATTTTCAAAAACCTTAAGACGCTGCTCATCCCTTAATGTAAGCGGCCAAGTTTCGCACCCATAAAGAACTGTAGGCAAGATAATTGTTTTATAGATTCTAATTTTTAAGTTCCGGGACAACTAAGTAGTTTTGTCACAGAAAAATAACAAGCATTTCCTGCCTTCAGTCTAACCTTAATCTCTTCTTTAATTCCGTTTTTTCTAGTTATCGTAGAACCTAGATACCTAAATTTATTTACCTGTTCAAACATATTACCATCTATATCGATATCACCAGTAGTATCGCCATTTTTGCAGCTAACCATATATTTTGTTTTATCCACATTTATTTCGAGTCCTAATTCTTTACCGGCTTTCATTAACGTTGTCGTATTTAGCTTTATAGTTTCAACGTCTTCGCTTAACAGTACCAGATCATCAGCATAGCCCAGCATGGATGTTGTCCCGCCCAGATCCAACCCTTTCTCGGTTCGCATTACCTCCCTAATGGCATGTTCTAATGCCAAATTGAACAGGAGAGGCGAAAGAGAATCCCCCTGTTTTAAGCCCGAACTAACCTCAAATTTTTTGGACAAATTATTACCGATTCTAACTTTATTGAGTGTCTCCGTCAAGCACATCCTGACTAGATTTACTAGTTTTTTTGGAATCCCCTGCTCGATTAGAATATTATACAGTTTCTGGCGGTCAATAGAATCGTAAGCCTTTTTAAAATCTATATACAGCTGGTGAACAATACCGTTATACTCCAATTTTTTCTCTAATATTTGCCGTAAAGAAAATATTTGATCAATAGTCGAACGATTCCATCTAAATCCGCATTGGTAGTCTCCGATAATTTCCTCGGCGTATTCCGTGATTCGGAAGGTTAAGATTAAAGTGAATATTTTATAACATACCGGAAGGAGTGAAATTCCTCGATAGTTATTACAATCCGTCCTCGGACCCTTTTTGTGAATCGGAATAAGAATAGATTCTTTCCATTCTTCAGGTAATTTCTCGTTCACCCAGATCTTTTTAACCAACCGATGTATTTTAGAAACTCCAGCTTCCCCGCATGCCTTAATTAGTTCAGTAGGAATATTATCGATTCCCGCTGCTTTATATGATTTTAATTTTCCGATAGCTACTTCAACTTCCTCTTTACTTGGTCCTTCTATTAACGGTTCAGCACTCTGGTACTCAGAAGAAGGACACAGATCATAATTTCCCGTATTTAAAATATTGTCAAAGTGGTCCTTAAATTTATTCAATATGTCAACCGGATCGGTCAGAATATTATTATTATCATCCCGAATTCCAGACGTTACGGGCCCTACACATTTTCGTGATCTGTTTATACCTTTGTACATGTCTCTTACGTTATTTTCGATTCTATTAGTTTCGATTTCAATTATTTTATTTTTAAGATACTTCCTTTTTTTATTTTTGAGCAATTTTGTCGTTTCGTTCTTTGAGATTCGGAAGTATTCCAGATTGTCTTCGCTAGGATTATTTAGAGCTTTTAATTTAGCGGCTTTTCTTTTTTCGCACATGTTTAAGCAATCTTCATCAAACCACGGTTGGTTATTCTTATTTTCCTTTTTTCCTAGACACGAGTTACCGACCGCTTTAATATTATCCCTGATCTCTATCCATAACTTGTCAATATCCTCGTGGTCCTCGTCAGGAAGCTCTAAAGCTACAAACCTATTCTTAACATCCAGCTCGAATTGGTTTCTAATTGATGGATTTTTTAATTTTTCCAGATTAAAATTCTCAAAATCGAAATGTTTTTCTTTTCTCTTTTTTATATTAAGTTTTTGTCGAAGTTTCGATATGACTAATTCATGATCCGACCCACATTCTGCTCCGCGATAAGACCGTACATTGATTATACTGCTTTGCCAGCTGTGTTGTATCAAGACATGATCGATTTGATTTCGTGTTTGCGAATCCGGTGAGCTGTGTTGTATCAAGACATGATCGATTTGATTTCGTGTTTGCGAATCCGGTGATGTCCAAGTATATTTATGAATATCCTTATGTTTAAACGTCGTACTTTTAATTATCAGGTTTTTCGAGATGGCAAAGTTTATCAGACGGATCCCATTATCATTACTATATTCGTGCAAACTTTCTTTACCAATCGTCGGAATATAAACTTCTTCTCTTCCTACCTTTGCGTTCGTGTCACTTACAATCATTTTCATCTAGTTTCGCGATAGTTTATCATAAACCCATTCGAGTTTATCGTAAAATTCACTTTTGATTTCATCGTCACTGTCTTCGGTCGGACAATGTATGTTTATTAATGCGATTTTAAACCAACGTCCCTGAAATATAGCTACCGAAATTCTATCACTAAAGAATTGTACGTCCCTCAAAGCGGATAGTAATCTACTCCTAATTAGAAATCCGGTACCTAAACAATGATTCCCGCTTCCTCCGTACCAAATAGTGTACTTTCCTTCCCTCATCGAGCCCTCCCCTGGCCAGCGAACCTCTTACAGAGCCACGACATCCAAATTGTACCCATTTACCTCATTCGCGACCGATTTTAGCCCCCCTGCTATGTTTAAACTCCTTACGTTCCACGTACCAATATTTAAATCAGCAATCTGGTAAATAAAATAAAATTTTTACTGAGTGATAGAATTTCTATAACCTCGACTGCATGACCTATACATCAACATCAACAATCACAGAAAATGTCATCAAATTAAATTAACAGCAGTATGTGTTATGTCCATCAAAAAGATTCTTTTAAATTCTATTTATGAGTATAGTTTTACAACTGCAGAAATGATATTTTCTACATGTTTAAGCTCACAACTATATTTCATAGATATTAAACTCTTAAAAATTACGAACATTAATTTTAATTTTAAATGAAATTTATACCAGGTAACACTTCTGCTAATTTAGTCCAAATTTTAACCTTTGCTACTTATAACCTTTGTATATACCTACAGCGTTTTATCAGAAAAATAATTTTATTGATAATCATGAATTATTTTAAATGAGATCTTTAACCGGTACTAAAACTTTTTCAGGTATATAAGCGAAAAAGATAAAAAATTATATTACAAACCTTATAGTCAAGAACTATCCGTTCAATTATCCCTTTATCTAGCATTTTCTTGTACCACTCCTGAAGCCTTTTAGGTTTAGGAATCTTTTGTTCTTGAGGATGACAGTGGAATATATAATCATCACCTTCTGATGGAGGACAAGCCCAAATATGTGCCATTGTATACCTGTAATTAAAATTATAAATGTAAAGTAATTGGTCAAAAGATTTATTCTTTAGAAAGCACTTAGTTTTAGTACCCCCAAAGCCATAAATTTAAAACAAGAAAAGTCATCCTGTTATTGATACTAATCCATATTTTTAAGCAAACTTATTGTCTCCAATAAAAAAAGGAGAATATGAAAATTACGTCATGAAGAATTGCAAATGCAATTCTTGCAGTTAATGAATTTAGCTCCAGCTGTAATGTATTTTGATACATCAATCAATATACACATTTTTTTTTTTACTTTTATTTGAGTGTGAGTTACTGTACAATACTGATTCTATTTGCCTCATGATTTGAACCTTTTTTTTTATTATGATAATCAGACTCCCCCCCCAAAGTTGGTTTCACGATTTTTACAGCAGACATTGATACAGAGCTTATAAACTGCATAATCACAAATAATAATATTTACCTAATCACACGTTATTATGTAATTTAAGATTATTTTAAGTATTTGGCTAAATAAAAAAAAAAAAAAATGATAACCCAAAACATAGCCCAATAACCTTGCCATAAAAAGAGTCTAAGTTGCATCGAATGGGGATAGGTTTCTTATTTTTTTTTTTCTTGTATGGGATGTGAGTGAGATGCAAAATTCAAGTTTTCGACCTTGACCCTCCCCCTGATCACTTTTTAAGACCCCCAAAACTGCTATATTTTCAGTTTGGACCATTTGGACTATGAAGGAGCATGTTTTCAACAAAAAAACATTCGTTATAGTTTTAAACAAGACTAAATATCCTACAATATAACACCAGAACAGGCTCAGTAAATCAAATAGTTAACGAGATAATTTTCAAATTTTAGAAAATTTTCGGACTTCTTAAAAATTTACTGAGTGTTTTTTTGTCAAAAGATGTGCTCCTTCATGGTTATAATGGAAAAAAGTGTGAAAAATTAGTAGTTTTTGGAATCTTCAAAAATGATCCGGGGAGGGCAAGGTCGAAAACAAAAATAAACCTACCCCCCAATGCAATTACGATTCAATGTAAATTACGATATACAAGCTTACTGGGCTAATAGGAGTGGTCCTTATCATTTTAAACAATTGGGCCTCTACTGTATATTGTTTTAATGAAGATGAAAATAAATTAAATAGTAACTTGGAATTTTTTAATTACAAAAATTGTCAAGCATAAACTGTAAAGTATTTATCCAATAAAATGAATTACATCGAGAAAAAATATAATATGTGAAGCAGATAAGGCACTTTCTAATAAAAATATTAGAATATCATTTATAAACAGTAACTTGTCTTTCTGTTAAATTACAAATTTATTTTTTGAGCATAAAAACTAAAATTTAATTGAACTATCACCCTTTTCAAAATAAATAATTTTAATAAAATTAATTAAATATAAAATCTTGATTACATACCCTAGTTGTTTAACATAGTCTAAATAGCCTAAGAGAATTTCATGGTAAACAGCAGTTCTATACTGCTTTGGCCTAAAGAAGTGGACGGAGTCAAGATAGGCTATGTAAACCCGCCTCGTGTTAGGTGTTGGGCATTCCGAACCATATTCCTGCACATGCATGCCGAAGAAACATACATCTGTTCCATCAATGTCCTCAAAAGCAAAAAGAGCTTTTGCACGATAAGGGAATTGATCGGGTAGATCACCATTTTCAACAAATCTGAAAATAAAAATTGTAATAATTATAAGATATGTAATTATTGTATATAATTTAACTTAGATCTAAAATATTTAAATGTGTTGTAGGTCATACTCTTAAAACTAGAGTGAACAGAGGTTTTCATGCTGTTAAGAAAAGGAAAGTTTCACTACACTATTCATAATAAACATATAACTACAATGAAAACAATTCTGATCGCTTATGCAATAAGATTGAATGAAAAGGAGGTTCAGGTATGTATTTGGAAAGGAAACCAAATGTGAGAATTGTTTTTACAAGAAATTTCTTCCAACTAGAACTTAACAGTGACCATGCTCTTTAACTGAGAGGGAGAGAAATAACTGAAGAAAATTCATATACAAGATTGTTAATGGAATTATAAAACTTGATAGTCATAAATAACTAAGAAATAACCTAGAATTTAGATCCGGCCTTTTAGAAAAAGAATAAATTAAAAAAGAAATTATTTTTGTTGAATAAAACATAACATGTAACAGTTCATATTAATGATAAAACATCCATCACAAATTTTTATTATTAAAAAAAAAATTAAATTAAAACTTAAAATTTATAAGCCATGTTTTTAATAATATTACAGATAAGTTATGGGTATTCAATAAATAGCAAGAATAGAAGGGGAAAAAGAATAATTTTTGAATTCTAATAATAATAATTAAAAAAAAAAAAATACTTGACTTACTTATTTTTCATTCCAGGCTTCACTTCGACAATTTTATCAGAGCTAGCAACTACCCTAATGGCCACTTCACCAGCTCCTGCTTCCTTCTTTTTCAAGTAATTGTTGACTCTTGTTTCAATGTATGTACCCAGTTTTGTTGTGGGTAATCTCTTAGCATTAAATTTATTATCTTTCCGTTTGGCTGATTTCTTCTTTAAGCAATTATCACAAGTGAAGCTAAAACCAATAACCAAATTTTAAAATTTAATATTGATCAACACAAAAAATTGAAGTAGAGATTTAAACATTATTTTACTTACCCTTGAGGCCAAATATTTTCCATATGCAAGACACAAATTTGATGAAGTTTCCTCCCACAGTCAGTACATTCAACGAAAGGTTCAAGTTCCAAATGATCATTTTTCATTTCTTTGAACTGATCTTTCTTTATCACACTAATAATTTGAAAAAAAAAAACAATGATATAAGTTAATAGTTATCTATATATGAAAAATGATTTTCACATAAATAAATAAAAAATATTAAGTATATGATTTCAACTTTTAATGTAAAATTAGGAATGGTAATCTGTCCAAAAAATTATGAAGTGTTACTTAATTTTCATGTTTACAAGTCTCCGTAGTATAAAAAAAATTAAATTTTATATTTTTTACATTAAATCTACCTTATGCAAGGATAACTTCATAAACATAAAGAACTGAGTTATTTAAAAAAAACAAAATAAAAAAACAGAAATAAGTTAGTTATATACTTAAAACAAACAATATATACTTACGTTGGGGGCTGGGAAGGATCATCTCCAAGCGAAACTGTGTCCCCAGGGATGTCATTGAAGCACTTGTGGCAGTAGGTATATCTATCACAGGAAACACCATATCCTCTTAATGAAGTATTTTTCAAATTGCGAGTAGATTTAAAGTAGGAACAGCGGGAACATAACATAAGCATAAAATGATAAAAGCAGTGCGTTAGGGCAGTGTTAAAAGTGCAAACTAAAAGCGAAACTCGAAAGAGAAAGAAAAATATATACCATTTTAAAAAAGATTAAATATGTTATTTAATTTTTTTTTTCAACAAACAACAAAAAAAGAAGATATACATGCAATAATATTCATAAATGCAAGAAATAAATACTCAATAAGAAATTTACAAACTTATTATAAAGTTTGTTAAGAATGAAGAGAGTCATGACAATACAGCTATTTCAAAATTCTAATATGTATAGAAAGTTAAATAACTGAGTATGCTGAAAAGCATAAAAACAAAAAATATAAAGAAAATTAATCTGAACAAAAAAAAATCCTCATTTCAAACAAAATGTATTATATGAACCATATTCTTTCCACGTTTTTGGATTGATTAGCCCTGATGAAGGGCTGAAGTTCGACAAATGTAAATATAAATATTATTATTTATTTTTGCTATTTTTTATTATGACTGATCACCCCAACCATCCTTCTCTTCAATTAATCACTACAGTCAACCATCAACCCACAATATATGAACCATAAATTGAAACGAATAATAATGATTTATTTAAAAAAATTAAATAAGTTTTTTCTTAATCTATATGTACATATATAATTCAGATTGAACAAGCTTCTTTTAGAATAAGAATGCCTTTGAACTATAGATTAAATATGACTAATTGGTACTCCTTAAATAGCTGGTCTGCAGGAAACCTCCCTTGTCTAACATCACATAACCTCCCTTCTTATCTAGTTTCTTTTATATGTACATCTGTTGTTTAAGTATTTTTTTTATTATTTCATTTATTTTTGTCTATTTCATATATCTGTTTTAAAATTAAGTGTTTTGTTATTATTACATTTATTTTTGTTTATTTATTTATATATGTTGTAAAATAAAAGTATTTTTTTATTATTACATTTGTTATTGTATACAATTCCAATAATATGAATATAATACAATTAATATGAATACGAAGATAGGAATTATCAGTGTTATGGTAATAAACATTGGCATATAGCAGTCGGTCCCGGCTGGCTATTTAAGGAGTACCAACTAATTCTATAAGAAATGTACAAAAATTTATAGACTAATCGTTTATAGAAATGTAATGCAGCAATGGTAAAAATTAAAACCAATTATTTCAGGGGTAGAACCATATATATATATATATATATATATATATATATTGTTAATGGAGCATATTTCTTCTTGTAACTGAGTGACAGAGCATTTAAAATTTTTTGTCCACCACAAAATGAGTTTTTGAAATTATCTTATAAGTGTTTATACATATGTATATAAGAATAAGTTTAAAACAAATCAATTCAACGAAATTAAAAAAAAAAAAAATGTTGAGAGAAGACACCTTTATAAGTAACCCAATTAGTAAATAGAGAGAAATAAAACACCATAAAAAGAAAAATAGGAATATTCATGCAATATTAAAAGTTGATATTTGATGAAATGCAGGAGTAAAATGTTTTAAGGAAGGGAATCGAGGCAAATGCATTCCATTGATTTGCCATGCAGTACAAGAGACAACTAATATCATGCCTTAGTAACTAATATTTAATTTGAGTTTACGATAATTTCTTATTTATGAACCATTTATAGATGCTGCAATGCAATCACCATGAGTTAACATGAAAATGTAAGTATTTAGGTTTTTGTCCAGCTAGCAGACAACATGAAAAAAGGCACCAACCAAACCAGATTTATTTGTGCAGTAAAAAAATACAAAATATGCAATAAAACAAACCACATATACAAGCTCTAACAGGAAAATAAATTATAATAAATAACACATTAATAATGGAAGACAAATTAAAAAATAATTGTTGCATATTATTGTGAAGATAAATATTCATATTTAAGAAACAAGATAAAGCCACCCAAAAACAATTAATCAAGATCATTATAGAATATATATACATTGAACATTTTCAGACAAAGTTCATTTTGCACTGGATTTTATATATGTTTTTGGTAAGAAAGTCTAAAATGTTATAGAGCATATTGCTTCTTGTCATTGAGTAACAAAGCATTGAAAAATGTTTATTAACTGCAAAATGAATTTTTGAAATTATCTTACAACTGTTTATAACAAATATTATAAAAGAAAATATTAATTTGGGTTAAGAAATAAAATATATATTAATATATAACTCTATTTTTAGACTTATCAGTTATTTGAAATTAAATTTTTAATTTTCTAATCATACGAACCCGAAACAGCGAATAAATAATACATGATGAGATAACTGTGTATATTTGGTGACCTTTGGCCTAATGTTTTTTAAAAAAACATAAATTTTTAATGTAAATACTGATACTATTATATCAGTAAAGAATATTATAAATGAACCACATAACTGAAGTACTTCTATTACCTGTTTTGGTAGCTGTAATATTTCGCATCTCTTGGAATCGTGCATAGTTGTTTTCCATAGCAACAGAGGACTTGAGGGTTGAAGGTGTATTTTCTGCCACAACAATAACCCAGGGCTTGCATCACAGGATCAATTTCTTGTTCAAAAACTTCTGATAACTAAAACAGAAATAATACTAAATATTGACAAAAAGTGAACTTTTTTTGTCTGTCACTCATAGATCTAAACAAGTATCAGACCACCAACAATAAATCTGCAGTGAAAATTCACCAATGAATCATCCAAAAAAGACATCATTTGTTGACTTACTTAGGCCGATTTTTGAAAGAAGAAATTTTATTTTTCATACTAATTAAAAATTAATTAAAACTTTGTACTAATCCTCATACTAAAGATCCCTAGAATAATTTATAGTCATTCGTATATAGTTGCAATAATAAGAATAGTTGAAGTAAAATAACAATATAAAACATAAAATAAATTATATGAGTAACTTCATATCAAACAGAATAATCTGCCATTTTGAGAAAAAATCAATTTTTGTTTTATAGGTTCAACTCAAACTGTTTCTAGTGACTTTATACTTACAAATGTTCAAGTTGAATCATGAAAAAAAAATCATTATAATTAATTTAAAAATGATAAATGCCTGCCTCTTTGATATTAAGCCATTCATATATAATGTATCTAATGGGTTGGCATACATCCTTTACTAAAATTTTGTCAAGAAAAATACAAATTAATTTAAAACCTACATCTAACATTAAATCATCACTGAAAGTTTAAATTTGATTGCAACCCCAAATCATCATATTTTAGATTAAATCCATAATGGACTATATTTATAAAACATTTTAAATAACAATTTCTTTTTCCCCTACTACAAATAAACATGGTACTTTGTTTCATAAAATAAACAGGATAAAATGAAAGTTAAAGTTAATTATGATTTATAAATATTTACTAAGACTAACAGCATAAGGAAATTATCATTTAAAAAAGACAGAAGCCATCTTCTTAAGAGCCAAAATTGGAATGCACAGATAGAGGAAAGAATGCAGTTGAGAAAACTCCAGAGGGATGCAGCATAGTTAATTTAGAATATATGAACATTAATTGGATTAAAATGGTTTGTAGGATTTTTGAAAAAAACAAAAAACAGAATAACAAACTAATTAAAATCATGTTAAAAATTGGTGAAATCAAGTTTCAAGATAACAGAATGTCAGACTAACGAGGTTTAACTCTTAAAATAACATAAAACCCAACTTACCTTTGTACAATACCTATAAACACGAGAGGTTTTTCTGTTATACAACCAAGCATTATCGAACATTAGCCAAACATCATCGACATACTCCCATGGGTCTGAGTACTGCCCTGTATCAAGTTTCCTCTTCACTGTCGATAAGTCCATTGGTGTCCTTACGATATCAAAATAATCAGGAATACCAAGAGATTGAGGATCTACAGGCTGTCTAAAGGGTAACGATTCGTCTTGTCTATACAGTTTTTCTAAAGTTGGCATTAATGCTTGTCGCAGGTCATCAGGCTTAAATACTGAAAATATATATAACAAGAGTTATAGTTTACAGTATCAAACCAACATACATTTGAAAAAAACATATTAATCAAATGTTTACATTAACTCTAAATATCAAGTTTGATACTTACAACATTTTTTCTTCTTATCCATTCCGACACCCTGCTGTATTGGTTCAGGTACAACGGTTGGTTTTACATCAGGTGCGTCGTTAACTTTTGGTGACTTAGGTTCTTCTTTGATTTCATCTGATACAGATAAGAAAATACAATTTATATAACATTAACATGAAATCAATAACAAGATGGTTCAATATGCATTTTTCAAAAATCATCTAAAGAAAAAATAAAATAATTTAAGAGGAAACAAAAGTAAGGTAAAACATCTAAGTAAACTATAAAAATAAAATTAAGATTATGGAACAAATAGGTTTTTAATAAACTGGGTCTTAATTCCTCAAATTTTTGTGTAATATTTAAATATCAATGCTCCCCTAATTATATGACTTTTAGAGGAAAAAAAATTAGAACTAACCTTTAGCTGGCATATCATCCATAGGTTCTTGTTTTATTTTTCCTGTGCCAATTCCTTTTCCACTCCCTCTTTCACCATCTTCATCTTCTTTCATTTCATCTGGCTCCAGTTTAATATCTCCTTTACCCCTACTGGTTTGGTTGTTATTTGATGTAGGTGAATCTTCATCCTGTTCAGATGTATCAAACATTAGAAACATGTATATATATATATATATATATATATATATATATATATATATATATATATATATATATATATATATACACACACATAAACCAATGCAATTGCTATTTTGATGCAGATATCATACTAAATCAATATAATAATAATAAAATCCCATTGAAATATTATAATTTATGAATAGAAGTAAAATTATAGGATAAATATAAATCTTAATTCACTATTTTTATCCTTTGGCTTTGGCTATGAACTTATGATTCGCAGCCTTCCACTAGAACTGAATAATATAACACCAATCCTAGGGAAGAGATTGAAATAAGAGAGCACTTGTATATTTCAACTCTATCTTTTATAGCATAAGTATACAAGATACTTTTCAATTACTTTAGTCAGAAAAATTAAGTTGTTCGAGGAATTTGAAAAATATAAATCTGGTATGTTATGCACATCACACTTCTATCACTTACCAACCTACCTATAGTATAAATAAGTATATCAGTATATTGCAAAGTGAAAACTATAGATGGAACAACATTTTAATTTCTAACAATTGATTGATATTTTTCTTTTCCACACCTGACTAAACTGTTAAGACTTAGGCATTAATTTGTGACACAAATTAGAGAACCCTTTGTCTCCTACAAATATTTATTTTATATATATATATTTTTTTAGCACTTTAATTTATTAATCTGCACCTGTCAATTACAACCATCGACAATCAGCCAATGAGATGGCATAATCATGAGAAAAAATAAAAAAGGCTTGATAGACATAAGGAAAAGCAATACCCAGTGGCATCCCTTCCATGGCTAATTCCCAGATCCAACCTGGAAAAGTAGTTCTTTTTTTCTTTGACAGATACAGGTCATAAAATACCTTTGTAGTTCATATGCATCCCATTTTTTATTACTTCTCATGGGAAAAGTTAATTATTTAAAAGAAACCAAATTAAACAGAAAATTTCAATGATTCATTAACTTCTAGCTAAAGTTAGTTTTTAATGAACAACATCTTATTTTCTTTCTACATAATTTATTGTGCTTACAAGTCTTTATTTTAAGCAATAATTAAATTTATTTAGCTATGAGTAATGTCTCTAATAGTCAATTCATAATAATCATATCAAGTTATAATAATATAACAAGTCAACATTTGTGTGCGATTAGTCATGTGCGCTTCATTACTCCATGGTTTGAAGATTTTACAGGCCTGAATCTCCTTTAATCAAATTCTTTCAAAGTTAATGTTCAACCAATATATCTTAATATTTATAATGTGAAACGATTAACTATTTCAAACAAACAAAATTAAAGATACTTTAAAGCAAGAAATTTTGATAACTCTGTATTTAAGCCTTTTCAGAGGCCTATCATACCTGCCTGATATTAAAGACAGCTAATTTTTGTATACGTATAACAAGTTTTATCAAAATCGCTAACTGTTTTTGAGAAAATTGTAAAAATATGTAATATTAAGTACCACATCCAGTTAAATTTTAATAAAAAAAGTTGGTGTAAAATTTCAGGCGAATATATAATTTCGGTTTTGTAAATCTCCAAGTCATAAATACATTTTCATGTCATCTAACATGTCTTCAAGTCATATATACCATAGAACATTTTTTTGAGAATTGGTTATTTGGACTCAAGGGATTTCAAAATGCATATTTCCGTTGAAGACTGAGTTAGAAATACTTTCTGGTCGCTGGGTTTTCACTTATTATAAGTCATTTAATACATTGTAAAATGTATAATGAGATATTGTTTTAAAAAAATTAAAACTAATTTAAGAACAATTGGAATATTTTAACTAATTAATTTTTCTACAAATCCACTTTTATACCTTAAACAATTCATGAAAATCAACTTATAACTTAAACAGAGGTGTAGAAGTTAAATAATGTGTATATTTTTTAAATTACCCTGTTGAGAGAAGCAGTTATAGCAGCCATCTGACTTGAATAAGAATTACTACTTGATTGCTGAGTTCGAGCGAGGGAAGAAGGAGGAGTATGGTTGGAAAATTTTCCCATTGATGGAGATGGTGCAACAGTTGGACTCGGCATTGGTGATGAAGGAGGAGATGGCACTCTCCCATTGTTAGTCTGACTTGCAGGAGCAGAGACTTGCTGAGGTGAAGGGAACGGATGTAGGCCAAAAGCAGGTGAGGTTTGGGCAGTGTTTGGTAATCGAGCATTGGCCTGAAACTAAAAGAATTGTTATAATGGAACACAGAAAAGCAAAAATTATTTTTAAAAATATTTATTGTCCATAACTATATTTATAGCCACATTATTGTGCTTTACTATATTTGATCATTGATAGAATGCACTGCTTATGAATGGCTGTTATAATTATATTCAAATAAAAATAAATTAATATTAAATAATTCAGATTGTTAGATAATGGCTAAGGCATGTTTCCGATAAAAGTATTTGAAAATAATCAATTTCAAAATAGATTTCTTCAAAGTTAATCTTTGTTAATTTAAAAATAAGGTAACAGAAGAATAACATTATTATTAAACAGATCATTATTACTTCTTTACGTAATTAATACTAATAATTCGCTTGTTGAAGATTAATAAAGCAGTATGTTACCTGATGATTAGTGTTCTGAAATTGACTAGTGGTTGTCGGCGGAACAGAAGGAGGATTTGCAGCAAATGGAGACAAACCAGTCACGCTTTGCTGTGAAGCAGGACCACTAGGACTCGGACCCATTTGGGTCCCTATCCTGTTACCTCCAATGCCTATTCCTGTAAAGTAAATAAATGGTTATAAAAAAAAAAACACGTTTATTTTGAAGATATCTGCAAAACATTTACAGCAAAGATTAAAATAATACTGCATTAAGATAATAAATAGCTTTATTTGTGTCTTGGCCTGTATCTATTTTAAAACATTCAAAAAATGTAAAGCCCTTTTGTTGCCCATATTCAACTTTAAAATTTAATTCAAGTATTGAGATTTAGACCTATTAACTCGATTGGACTAAGTAATAAAATAAGTTAAAAATATTTTTAACCGGCTGACTTTAGAGAGTTTAGTAATAATACTTAATAATGATTAATTGATGAGAAGGATGGTTGGGGTGATCAGTCAAAATAAAAAATAGTAAAATTAAATAATTATATTTATTTTTATATTTGCCGACGTTTCAGCCTCCATAGGGCTAAGAAAAGAACCAGATAACAATAGGTATGAGAAACTATAAACAATGAATAATAAAGAATTAAAATTAAAAAGGTGGAAGGTATAGACTAAAAAATGTAGGTAGAATAAACTTAAAAAGTAAAATAAAGTATATAGAGTGAAAATAAAGTAGGTAGAATAATAACAGTAGCAGAGAACTGAGAAATAAATAATAATAAGGGCAACAAGGCACGGACCAATGAAATAAACATAACCAAAATAAGGTAACATAAGAAATGAAAAATGGTAATCTTAGAATAAAATGTAAAACAGAGAAAAGGAATATGAGGTTATATAAAGAAATAATGGATATAAAAAGAAAATTGAGATATTGTAAAATTTATCGAAGTATACTGACTATGTATAAGAGAATAAAAAGTTACAATAATTTAAAAAAGATAAATCAAATGTATCAATATATACAAAATAGAGATGGAGATAAGGAAAATAGAGTAATGAGAAAGAAGAAAAAAAATGAGAAAACAAAGATAAGAAAGACAAACAGACCTGGTCAATCGAAGAACCATGGAAAGACTAAGATATTATATCAGGAAAGGGTAGAACCACATAGCGCCATCTGTACGCTATCTTTTTCTTAGCCATGAACTTCGGGCCCAAATGTCGACAGATATAATTATTTATTTTTACTATTTTTTGGATATCTAATAGTTGGCCGTTGCAATATAAAGGAAGGAGATGGTCCGAGGTGGCGGTCACAAATAGGCTGAATAGTTTTGCCACTATTTAGCCTATTTATGACCACCACCCCGGACTATCTCCTTCCTTTACTATTTTTATTTTGACTGGTCACCTCAACCATCCTTCTCCTCAAGTTTTCAGTACAGTCAACCATAAATTCACAATTATTAATAATGTTTAATTTTATATTGTAGTTGGAATTGCACATTGCTGTTAAAAATGACACCAAAATGAAAAAAAGATAAGATGGAACAAAGGAAGAAACAACACAACAAAATAAATAAAAAATATTGTATGATAATATCTATATATAAAAGATAGTCTGTCTTTTTTTCTATTTGGAACTACTAACTCAAAAACAAGTAAACAAATATTTACTAAATTTTAACCATTTGATTTTCATGCTATATTGATTTTTCAAATATTTTAATAATTCATAAATTCAATATTTATTATTATTTCATATTAAAATCCAATTGAAATTTAAAAACAACTAATTACTCATCTAGGAACGAGATATAATAAAACGAATGCTGCTACTATCACTGTGGTACAATAATACTATGAAAAAACACTTCTTTTAGTAATATAAATCCTCAATATTGCATTGTTAACTCGTCTTACATAAGTTTTGGACAGCAATTCAAGATATTTTGATAACAGATAAGAATAACCTTCCTGTTTTCCCATTACCTTAGTAATTTTGACAGTCAGGTTTACAAAAGCATTTGTGGTGTTAATATTTTTTATTTATTTATTGATTGTTTTCCTTCTTTTTTTATAACAATAGTGTTTATGCTATTTGTAGTAAAACACATTTTTAACAATCACCCACAATTTATAACAATAAAGGCAGGTTATTTTACTGTGACTGGAGCTTGAGTTTAAAAACAGTTAAATTATATCATTTAAAACATAAAATATTATAAAAACAATAAACATTGATAATAGCCAGTAACATGTATTGATTGTCATTTTTAGGTATGTTACAAATATATTTCTGTTGAATTATTGGATACTGAACAAAAATGTTTGTTGAAATTTATAATAATAATATAAACTCGACGTTCTTCATACTTAGCTAGAGCTAGAAAAACAAGGGAGTTCAAATATAAATAAAAAAATAATTTTAAAGGGCAAATGTGGTTTTATAGCCAGTAACATGTATTGATTGTCATTTTTAGGTATGTTACAAATATATTTTTGTTGAATTATTGGATACTAAACAAAAATGTTTGTTGAAATTTATAATAATAATATAAACTCGACGTTCTTCATACTTAGCTAGAGCTAGAAAAACAAGGGAGTTCAAATATAAATAAAAAAATAATTTTAAAGGGCAAATGTGGTTTTTTAACCATGTGTAGCAGACAAAAAATAATAGTGGTATGTTTTATCAATAATACTCAAATGTGTATAGAACTAATATCGTATCAGCTAACACTTGGACAATCCTTCCTATAAGCTATTAGTTAAGCTTTATTAATTAGGACGAACAATTATAAAGTTTACTTTTAATTAATAAATACAACTACACAAGTTAAATCTATCCTATTACCTCACTAATGATGGTTAAAAGTTTATATTTATGCTAAAAATAATAATAAATTAAAGATAATTTCCTGTTAATTTTTTATCTTCAGCTTAATTAGTATACTTTAAAACAGTTTACTGAAACTACTGAATACAAAATCAACAAACAAAACCAAATCAGCAAGCAGCTGTTATTTATTTTAGTTCCAGCTGTTTGGGAAGACATTGGAGCTTCTATACGTGAGTATTAAAATTTGTTTTTCATAGATAATTAAAACGGCTAATTATAGATGTTTGAATATATCACCTAATTAATGTTTTTAATAACTCATAAACATGTGTTAAAAAAGTAACTTCTTTAATATAAATACTCCAGATACAAGTCTTAAAAAAAACTCTTACAGAAAAATAAATAAAATTTTTAAGATATCGAATTTGACAAAGCAAAGGGCTATATTTTAAATTTGTTTATGAGTAACTAACAGGAAAACATTTTAAGGTTATTTAGTATCACTCTTGTCACTGTTTATGTTTATAGCATGTGACCCTAATGATCTGCTAGGAAAATTAAATTGAACATGAGGTTATAAGGAAAAACATTACTGTGAAATATAATATATTATTCAAATTTTAATATTGAAAAAAAAAATTTGTGGTTATCATATTGATAGACTAAAATAAATTATGGAAGGTTAATGTTGTTAATTTGCACAATCATTGTAATAGGACAAAACAGTTTACCTGGTGATTGTGAGTGGAGAGGTTGAGTAGGATCTTGCCGTGGAGGAACAACTGCGACTGGTACAGCACCTGCAACCATTCCCCTTGCTCTTTGGACAACTGCCTGTGTCTGGGCTTGTACCTGAGCCTGTGATTGAACCTGCTGCTGTTGCTGTTGCTGCTGCAACTGCTGCTGTTCTTTTCTTTTCTGTCGTTTCTCCTCTGAGAAAATCAAATTAATTAATAAGTATGGCTCACCTCTAATTAACTGTAATGATTAAAAAGTATTTAAATATAAATATTATAATGCATTTAGAATAATCAATTACCTAATTCCTTCTGAATTTTATAAATCTTCTCAGCCAAAAGATGATAATATTCGGACTAAAAAAAAAGATAAAGAAACAATTAATGTACTGTTACTATAAAAAAAAAAAAAATAATTAGATACAAATCCTATTATAGTTAGTACAGCTAATCAAATGAAACAAATTATGAACTTCTTGGATTTGTTTTTTACTAGTTGAACAATTTAATCCATTGGCACTTGGCTATAAATGGAATTCCTATCATAATAATAGAGTTATCCAATATCTTAATTATTTTAAGCTAATGTTCAAGGGATGGGGTAGCAAGAGTCCAATGAAAAACTAAAAGCTTAACTTACGAGTTATGTTATATTCATCTTGCTGTGCAATATTAAAAAACCATTGTAAACAAATATATTTGAAAAATAATGAAAATTTGGTGAAACTAAATAAACATTCATCAAACACAATAATGCAAATATATATTTGTACCACAAATAATAATTGTTAAATGTCATCAGCCTGATTTTTTAATAAAACTAAGCAAGTCTAATTTTGTTTTTAATTTTAAACAATCTCTGCCAAGCAAAAACAAAAATGTGCTTGTTAGAACTAATACGAGATTTCTTAATATTAAAAAAAATTAAATAATTAATAATTTTAATTTTTTTTTTAAATCCAATAAGAATAAAAGTTGATAACAAATCCAAAGAGATATGACATTATAGTAAAATAACAAGTTTATCAAAGCGAGGAGCAATTAAATATCTTGCACAGACTAAGAAAAATCCATTAAAAAAAAAATATATAATAAATCCTAATTATGATAATATATTGACTTAATTTGTAACTTTTGGCTCATTATTAAAAATCTAAAAAGCGGGATAGTTTCCTTTTAGCAATTCTTATTGTATTAATTTATAATTATTATTTTTTACAACTTTTAATAATAATTAAAAAAATCATTGAATACATGTTCAATTGTTTAGTTACAGTTGCTTTAATGAAACAATAATTTTTTAACACTTCAATATGTTTTTATTAATTAAAGTAATATATTTAAATTTAAATAAAGTAGGGCATTTACTTGAAAACACAAAAACAAAAATTTTTTTATCAACTCATTTTTGAAAAATATTACAAATTCTTCTTATTCGTCTTAACAAATATATTTCTTTTAATTAAAAATGATTGTGTAATTTTATACCGTACTCATATTCTGATTTCTTTTTAAATAGTAATAAATTCTCTTCTGTATATGATTAATATTGTTTAGTTTATAAGCATTAGCGAGGAAATAAAAATAGAAATTAAATTTTTCAAAATTTTAAAGTCAAAACATAATAATTATAATAAACACTTTTATTTATGATAAAATAAATAGGGATGATAATCTCCGAAATGTTGAATCAATAAAAATACATTACGATGGAAGTAATTTTTCATTATATAATGCTTTTATTTATTTTTTAATAACTACTACATAGAATTTTTAAAGTTATAGGGATGAAAATTTCAATTATATCAAATATATTGCTTATGCTCACTAAAATATAAATAGAGAAACATTGTGTAGAAGTTAATAATAATTGCTCACAATCTATATAGATGGTGTCAAGTTTTTTTATCTTATAAATATTTTCTATTGGCAATACAATTTCAGCTTTTAGAAATGATTATTAATAAAAAGTAGACTCAGATTTTTAACAATGATTATTAGAAAGCAGAGCTTGTGGTTTGATCCTTAGAATAATTAATTAGGGTTTTTTTTTATACTCAAATTGTTTGTTTGAGAAGGCGTAAAAAGAAAATGTAGATGAGACGAGGCAAACGTTTATTTTTGTAATAAGATTTTTAGATTTATTTGCTACAACTAAGTTTAACTTTCCTATACTTACCACCACAACTTATGGGGTAATCAGTTTTTCAATGCATTATTTGGCAAACTTAACATCTGAAATTTGATTTACACTTTTGTGATTTGGTTAGAAAAATCTTTGACTTACATCACCAAGTTAGTTTAACCTGTGGTTTCTTAATTCCATTTTTAGTTAATATAGAGTTAATTTTGCTTTAAATATCGGATACTTAAATATCAGTAACAAATTATACTCTATATTTAAAATATAAAAAATTTGCAACCAGTAGGAAATCATTCACTTTAGTTACTAATACAAAACTGCAAAAGCTCCAGTCTCGTGAGAACGCAGTCTTCTGATCACTCAATTACCCTTTGAGTTACATACCTAATTTTATTCAGAATTCAATTGACTTGGTTAAAGAATCACTTATTTATCAATAGATATGTAAACGTACAAGCTGCCGTTCATGCATAATTAATATTTGCCTATAGTTTTAAGTTTGTAATATCCTGAAATATCTTCTTAACAGCCAGATGTAACAGGTCACCCAATATGAAAACTCCAGCATAACAGAAGGTAATGAATGCTTTAGCGAAAAATTGTTAATATTGAAACAATGCTAATGTAAATTACAAAAAAAAAGCAAATTTTTGGCTTATAAATAAGATGTGTTAAGTTCTGAGTCTTTGCCTTTTCCCATCCCAAATATTATGACCATTTAGGGCTGGTCAAGTGCTTTGCCACATTTACTGTTTACATAAATATTTATTTTAAAAAATTTCAAAACTTTAATTTTTAACAGCTTGTTTCACTAGTGAGCCATTGATATAACTTTCTGAAATTTACAGTAAACGGTTGGTTTACAGCATAGAAATGTGTAACATATTTTAAATGATTTCCACATTTACCCATTCGAAACAAAAATAAAAATTTAGTACCATGGATTAATTTTAATTTTCATTTTGAATTGTTTTTCTTTCTAGCTACTTATTTAATTATAATTATTATTTCATCACGAAAATTCCTACATGTTTTTAATTGATTTATTTTATTTTAAAATAATAATAAAAATAAAACAAGAATCCTTATTAACAGTTTGTAATGAAACTTGTTATTTTAGCAACATATTAATGAAGAAATTCGGTTAGCAAGTTCTTAAATAGCAGTTATTTTATTTTAACATTCAATAGATATAAATTATTTTCTCAAATCCTGAACAGATGAAATAAAATCATTAAGAAAAGAGAGAAGTTACATTAGTACAAACATAAAAACAAAACTTCATTAAGGTTGAAAAATAGAAGATTTGTGCATACGTGTATTTCAATATAACAAAAAATATTGCATTAGAAAACTATTCTCAAACTAAAATAAAATTATAAGGTATAACACAAATAAAGCAAGTTCATTTCAATTGAATTAAAAATAAAACACAATTATAAAAACAACCATCATAAAACCATATATTTATTAATAAATTATAAGTACAAAATATATGATTGATTACCCTTGAATTCGCCATTTCATACATATCACCTTCAACTTTCCTGGCATAAGCAACAAGGTTATGCATCCTTTTATCTAACATCGCCTGAGGATCAGGAGTCGGAAATATTGCTTGAACACTTGAAATAGAAAAAAAACATTAATTTTAAAATGTATTAGAAATTCTGCAATTAAATCTTGAAATTTATTGAGGAATAAAAAATATCAGATTAGTCAAGAATAAATCTGAAGATTTGAATTCATGTTCTAAAATACAGATTTACTTTTTTTAAATGTAAAAAAGAGGATTACTTTGTCAATATCTTTAACACTTGAATTTAGAAACTGATTTCAGTAAAATCTAATATAAACTGTCATTTGATGTCATGCTATGTCCTAAAAATTGTAACCAAGTAGTTTGGTTTTCAAATCACCTCGGAAGATCCACACGAACTTAATAGACACTTTTACAAGCTTATGTTTCTCAAGGTTGCGATTGTAAATTGTAGCAGGATATACAGCTATGTTTAGAAAAATAATATGTTTCCTGAACACAAGGAGCACTGCTATAGTTTGGTCAAAAATTTTGATCCTATTTGAACTATTCGATCCCGTGACCTAATAAAACCCTTTCACAATGTTAAGCTTCTCGACTCAAGTGAGTTAGTCCAAGAAACTTACACCATATAGAAGGGGCCTAACATGTCATCAAAATAAATATGTTAAAATTTCATTTAAATAATAAGACAAAAATGCACTTAAGTTCCACCCTAAATTTTTTCACATTACAATATAAATTAAAACATGTTGAAATAGATAAAAACCAGCTATTAACATTCACTTTTTGTGAGTGGTTTGTCTGGAATTTGATAGATAATCATCTCTGTAGATCACAATACTTTATGCTAATTATTTATTTATTTATTGTTTTGGTTTAAAGTTCTGTTGAACATAAGTTTATATATATATATATAAAACAAAAACAGTTTAAACTCAGTATACATTAGTTTAGTGGACGGAGAATTTGATTTATTTAAGAACCTGGTTTTTTTTAGGGATCGAATTACATAATTTTATGATTGTTTATTAAAACACAGTAATATATTACTGTGTTACTTTATTAATACACTAAAAAAAAAAAAAAAAATCATAATAGAGAGAGGTCTTCATTATGAGTTTTCATTCATGATTTTTTAAAAACAGCAAATAGTAAATACACACTTTTTAAAAAAAAGAAGAAAAATGGTAAAGTAGTAACACTTACAGCTTATGCACAAGATGGTTCCGAAGATCTGGCGTAACAGATTGGTGCCACTCTTTAGTACCTTGGACAGGATTTGCAGTTACTTGTCCAACTCCAATACCAGTGGGAAGTTGAAGGCTTGATAGTCTGCTATCGGTAGTTCCCAACTATAAAAGTATAAATAATAAACATATACAATTGAAATAACAACAAATAAAAAACGTCAAGTAGGCGAGTGACTTACATTGGAGGTGGGGCCCTCAGCAGAATTTGAAACAAATCCAAATAAATTATTATGTATATTGCTAGCAACAGACTGTTGTATACTAGCAGCAGTCTGGGCAGCAGTAGCATTAGACTGAGAAGTTTGGGATTCCAATGGAAGCACCACCTGTGGACTTTGTCCTACCACAGTCGCACCTAAACAAAACAAATGAACAGTATAATCAATTATATAAAAATAATTATGTCATTAAAAAAATAGTCTAAAAAGTAAATCAGAACAGCTTCCTCGCTCTTTTTATTGGGTACATTTGAAAAAAAATGTATATTACTATTTTTTCGCACTTCACAAGGGTTATTATATATTTTTTAAAGCTGAATAGGAAATCCAATCCAATAAAAACACATAATAAACCACATTAAATAAAATTTTAAAACTAATATAACTTACCGTTATCACATGTTTAAAGCCATTATTTCACTTCATGGTCATTATATTCTTGACAGTTACATTACTTTAATTCTTAAATAAAATTTGATGCAATTGATATCGGACCAAATGTATATTATTCCCAAAATGTTCTCAAAGTCTGTGTAAAATTGAATGAGCCATATTTGAAATGTAGGCCTCAAGAGAAAATAAGATTTGCGCATCCTTAATAGGGAATGGAATTTAATAAAAATAATACTGGATCATTTTTTCAATAATATTTAACTATCTTCCAACTTTGAGCCTAATTGAATTTGAGCTAGTTTTAACACCATATATGTGTTATTATAACACGCTTGCATATCCAGAAGTGGATTAAGTGTATAGAATTTGACAGACAAAATCGTTAAAGATCTCATTAAAATTAGATTAACAGTAGTAGGTGATCAGCGGTCACATGTATTTGACTACAGACACAGAACCAACATTGTTCCACGATGTCAAATGTGAGCGGCAATTGTCAATAAATAAATAGTGGAGCTACTTTTATATTTTGGTTTATATGCCAAAAGCAATACTTAAGTTACCATTGAAGAGTAGGACGTGATGGCCAAGCAGTATGTAGATACCCAGTTCTGAACCTTTTGAGCTCGACTCCCACCCACCTGGGCCAGTTAATATTTATTTATTTCCAGCTCTGAGAAAATAATTTTGAAATTTCCACTTGGGTTAGTACATGGTGGCAATCTCCCCACTTTTAATTAATTAAGAAAAAAAACAGGGGTTCAAGTGTCAAATCACCTCCTTACATAACCATTGATGATACTCCCTAACAAAGTTATAAACCTAAGGATCTTCAATAAGAGTTACAGTGGTACAAGATTTCTTTGGCGGCAGTTAAACATTTTAAATTTATTCAATTAATGAAAAAACACAACTGCTGAATATGAGAATGATCTCTTACACAATGCTTAATATTTACACCTTGTAAATGTTTAATAGCAGGCCACAGAAGTTAACATACAGTAAAAAAAAGATCATTGGCTAAAAAAATAATAATAAATTTAAATATAATAGATATTGCAATAATTTTGAATGTTAGAAAGTTTATCAATATTGTATTTAAAACAAATAACAAAATTTAATTTTAATTCAAATAACCTATTATTGCATATAGAATTAAGAGATCTTATTCAATTCAATTGGAGAAGAGAATAACTAAAATTCCACAATAAAAAAAGCTGAGAACCATCATACAAATTACTTTTAATGAATCATTTCAAATATTACATATAATTGATGATTACCTTGCTGAGGTTGTTGAGAGGCTGTAGGAGTAGGTTGAGGAGGAACTCGAGCAGTGGGAGCAACACCTGGGAGCCGGGGGCGAGGAATCGCTGCACCAAGGAGTTGGTTCCCACCGCCACCTGCTGAGGTAGGGCATTGAATACCAAGTGCATCGTATGCTCTTCTCATATCGGATGCAGAAGGGTTGGTTGGACCTGCATTAGCATTCTGGTTTCCTACAGCTAAAATACCAATAATTAAATGTTAAAAAAAATGTTTAACATTGGGCTGAAAGGAAAATAAATCAATTCATGCTACAAATTACTTCAACTGTATAAGTATTTTTCTGTAAATCCATGTCAATTTGTATGAAATTGTTTCGAACCAGAGATAATTTTTTCAATTAAACAGACGAATAATGCCAATTGTAAATAATTATAATTGAAATTAGGGAGGTACTCGGAACGATGGACCAACAAATTAAACAACTGTTCATTTAATTGTACTACTCATTGTTCAAATTGTATAACTTTAATTTACATGCATTCTGTAGTTAAGATTGTATTATTTTTTATCAATATAAAATAAATTCAACGAAAACGCAGTTTAGATAAATTTTTAATTTCTTTAAAAATCTATATTATACATTATGCCTTATTACCAATTTGTAACCATAATATATATTCAACTTGTCCAGCTTCATATAACCCTAACTATAATTTAAGCCTTTTATTTCTAATATTTTTATTGTTTGTTATGTTATATTATATTTCCTTTTCTATTTCAGAGTAATTATAATTATATCACAAGGGGAAAAGTATAGATCGAAAAATAACTGCTGTCACCTAGGTAAACTTAAACTACTACCTCCAGATCTATAAATACCATTTCCCATACACACTTTTACTCTAAAATCTATATTTTTTATTAGGAGAATATTAGATAAAAGGAGCTCAACACATATGTAGGGGCAATATAGACTTCAGTGAGAGTCTTGGGCTGATGAAAGGTTAAAAACACAAAACACATCTGTAATTATATGAACATTTGTGTAATTATTGCTAATTAGAGCTGATAGGAGAGCTCCTATAACTTCCTATGCTCCTAAATCTAAAATATGACATACACTAAAAGCTTTTTTATATAATAGAGAGAAGAAAAGTGTTAACTTTATAATCAACCCACAACTCATTAAGGTAACTTAAAGGGAAAAAAGTTTTCCAAATTGTGTTTTATATAACATTTAAAAAAATAGTATCAAAGAAGTTTATTAATATATATACAAACTGGATTAAACTGCTAGATAAATGTATAGATAAAAGTATTGGATACTTCAACAGAAAATTTAATTTAAATATGATTATAATTGGAAAATGTAAAAAAAGCTAAGGAAGGCCATTTATATAGAGGTAAGGTTATCTGTTAGTTCATGATTTATGGATACTGAGAATTTAACGTAAGTCTTCAATATCTTAACAAAATAGTAAAGGCAGTGTCACACGAAAGCCTAAACATTTATGCGAAGGTTCACAGCAAAACCTAGAATGGTTCCGCAAATGTGATGTGAATGGTTCGCACAATGAGACGAATGTTGGATTTTTATATATATAGATGTTACTGATTTCAACAAACATTGTTAGTTTATTATAATTAAACTAAAAATTATTATTATAAGTAAATAGGTCCTTGTCTTGTCAATGCAGTAACACTTAATTAATAACTATTATTTTGCTTCCTCACTACCTGAGGTAGGGAAGGATTGCATTCGTGCGAGAGGTTAAAAAAAATTTTGTGCTCAGAATCGAAGATTTTCACTCGTGTTTTATGTTTCAGACATCAAGGATCAAATTTGGTTCGGTGTCTGTCTGTCTGTAATCAAATCGATGTAACACGCCTATCACCTATTACCGTTTATCCGATGTTCATCAAATTTTCAGGGATTGTGCGGGTTGGTGTATAGATGGTTCCATATAAATTTTATTAAATTCTAACAAGCACTTCCGCTTACACACGCGCAAACGCATTTTAGTAAATAAGCCAATATTTCAGAAAAGGCTCGTTCGATTTGGCTTAAAGTTGAATATAAGGTAGATATTTGTGAAAAAATAATGTGGGGTCAATTTGATTGAATTCTGTCCAATCCATTGATTTCTCTTATATATGGGCAAACATGTTTTCCTTGATATGTCTATATCTCTAAAACTGCAAGTTCGATTTGGCTCAAATTTTGGAAGGAATTTAGGGATTGGAGAACGTAAAATGAAATAGGCATAAATTTGATCAAATTCTATCTAATATTCCAAATAAAAATACTTCCGCTTTCAGATCAGGAAATGTGTTATTTGATATGCCCATAGTTAATAAACGGCGCATTTGACCCAAACTTGAAGGAAATTCGGTGAACAGTAAAGAAATTACTTAGTATAAATTTCATTTAATAATCAAAATTAATATAAATAATTATCAACAATATAATGGCTGTAAAATGTTGAAGGCACTGATCACACGGAGTGGGAGTTAGGTTACTACAATATTGTTTTGTGTTTATAAAATTTTAGGTTTTATTTAAAAACTTATGTATACTGTATTGTTTAGTCGATTACAAACATTACTGACATTACAAATATTGCTGTTATATAGATTTCGTGTAATTTTCAGTAAATTTAAAGTAATTTTTACTCTGAATTTGTAAAAATGTTCTTTTTCTGTAGAAACATTTTGTTAAAAAATAAGAATCAGGATGTGATTTTTAAAAATTAACTTTTTAAAAAAATTTAATGATAATAAACAGGGCTGAAATTGATGATTAAGAAAATAATCATCAATTTCAGCCCTGTTAATTATCATTACATTTTTTTTAAAAGTTAATTGATATTTTGTCTATTTAAAATGTATTATGCAACAGTCAATTTTATAACACTTTATTATTATTAATTTCTTTTACATCCTCAATAATTGTAATATATCCATATTTAAAATATAATTAATACACTTTAAAATTGTTATGTTATTTTCACTTGGGTGAAAAAGTTAACTTTTTTAAGGAAAATTCTTATTGTATGAGGGAAAAAAGGGATACAATTTTAACTGACAAAAGCCAATTATGAGTACAGTTGATCTATTTTTTAATAATATAAGTAAAACTGACATAAAACAAGTAGTTATATAAAATATTTAGTTATATAAAAATAATAGCATTATTTTGTAAATTATTGAAGGAAGTTAGTCGACTGTTCTACACATCATGGGTGATAAATGTTCAGGACGCAGTCATTATAAAGATTTTATTAGTGCCGACGTTTCAACTCAAACATGTGGGTCATCATCACGGCGTGTTTTGAGCACTGAAGGTATAGTACTTGAAAAGATGACCCACATGTTTGGGATGAAACATCAGCACCAATAAAATCTCCATATGAAAAAATGAAAATATTTTTTTTATTATTCTGGGACTGTTGTCCCTTTAGGACAAATTTCAGATACAGAATAAATGCCTGTGTGGCCATACATAAAACTAATTATTTACAATTATTATTAAAATTAAGATTATGAAAAAAGAATAAAACAAAAAATAGAACTATTACACTAAAAACATTCTGATATGTATAATACAAACGTGGGAAAATAAAATTGCATAATCATTTATGGGGGAACTTCTCTTATCTACATTTCATGATCAATCGGGTTGGGAAAGGAGTAGGTGGTTAAAAAGGAGAGATTTAAATGAGGAAACTGATTGTGCATTTCAGATATCGGGAGGGATGGTATTCCAGAAGGAGACGGCTTGAATTATAAAGGATTTGTCAAACGCTGCAGTTCGGTGGGGAGGTGGATAGAGGTCGGAGGTACGAGATCTAGTGAGACGGGATTGAATGGAATATTTGAATTGTAGGGCTGTGAAAAATATAGGAAGGCCGCTGAGTTCTGATGACTTGATATAGAAAGGTGGCAAGGAAGTAGACGGCGACTGGATGGATAGAGCCACTTCAATTTGGTGTAATACTGGGTTATATACGTATCTCTTGAGATTCCGAAAACAAAACGCATTGCGCTGTTCATTAGGCGTTTAAGTTTGGCCTCAAATTCTCCCGAGTGTCCGCCATACACTAGACAGCCATAGTCAAAGTGGGGAAACACAAGGGAGGAAACCAGGAGTTTACGGGATTTATATGGAAGGAGATAGTGGAGATGGTTAAACTGTTTCAGGGTAGAGATAGTACGATGGGAAATTTGGGAGATGAGTGGTTTCCAGGAGAGGGTTTGATAGAATGTAGTAACACTAAGGTTTTTTACGGAAGTATGGAATGAGATAGATGAGTTGTTAATAATTTGATAAAACTAGCATTATTTAACATAAATCACATGCTTTCAAGGAAATTAAATGAAATTTCCTAACTAAATATAAAGTTTAAATTTTTTTTTTAAGTTTGGGAAAAAAGTATTTAAAATCCACCAAATCAAGCCAATGCCATTGTAAAATACTATTTCATTGTACTTGGGTGAAAGAAGAAGTGAAATATAAAAATATTTCATGGATATGTTAGTAATCTTAAGTACATTTTCTGTAGTTTAATAATTCTAGATATGATATTATATTTAAATAATTAGATATCTACTGGACTTTTATTAGAAAAAAATATCAAGTAACCTTTTAGAAAATTAAATTAGTGAATAATTTGATGAATTTTCCCTTTGTGAAACCCAACATTATTCACTTACTATTAGTGTGACAACTTTTGACCTAACCATGGCAGGCAATGAAAATCTCGTAATATCGTTTTAGTAAACTTTACAATGGAAAATAACAGTTTAATAACTAATAGTCCTACAATCAATAATCATTTATAGGTTAAATATTCAGATATACTTTCAAATCTCTCTAGGCAGATATGAGCCTATCAGTTGACAGATGGATAATTCCAATTTGAACATTATTTATTATTAATTTTATAGTGATCTTTCTAGTAGCCAAATGTATACCTTTATTTATTCACAGTTCAATATTTCAACATTGCAATCACCTACTCAGGAATAAACTTACTCACAGTCTGTATAGATACAACTTTTGCAACTAGAGATATCACTGAAATGTCATTACTAAAAAATGTTGAAATTGGAGTTAGTATAATTCTGTCAACTGAAAGGATCAGAGACTGAAGTTATGTGGTTTATAAAAGCACTTGGAGAAACTAGATTTTTATTGCCTACCGTTGATGTAATAAATGGACTTTTTGTAGTTTTAATCGTCTTAATGATCTGTTATCTGTATGCTTCAAGCTTTAGCTCTGTTTAAAATGCACTTCAAAAATTTTATAATAGCCCAATATTGCCAGGAAATAATTTCTAGTCAAAAGTAGAGCTGAGTGAAAGTTGTGTGTTGTACGCACCAGATTTTTTCATTATTGTTCCTTTAAGGGGACTTTGTCCCAGAATGAATTTTATTTTCTATTCTATTCTATATGAATAGGGATCAGCTAAGGTCAGGTGCTCTCAGCTTTTTCCAAATGTTTTAGAGATGATTTGTGAGTAACCTTATTTCTCCTTTAGTTAATAATCAATGTTTTTCTTTGTTTAATCATTTTATAATACTAGTCACAATGCGAAATAGTTAATTTTTTTAAATAAAAAAAACAAAAGCCCCTTTAGAGATTTTTTTGTTGTTGAAAATTTGGCATTTAAAGCATGTCAGGTTACTTCAATGAAAATAATATTTGCCTGATATTATAGACCACTCGATTTTATATAGGTATAAAAAATTTAATCAAAATCGTTAAAGCAATTTTTAAGTAAATTGAAAAAAATATGTAAATTTGATAATACAACGTGCAACTTCTGGTCCGCTAATATTGATGAAAAAGGTTCTGGTTCAGCATAAATATAACTGTTCCACATAATACCACAAATGCTGGAGAGTTAAGGAAGGAGCTTCGCAAAATTATTCATATGTTACTTGATCAATGGCAGAACCAAGTTTTAGGAAATTATTATTCTGCATTAACTTTTCCTCGTTGGGTTCATTGTTCAACAATGGTTTTTTGAGTTTAAAATGTGACATAACAGCGTTTTTCTAATTTTGAATCAGTGGTTAAATTGCAAATACTGTGTTCTTTACATTTTACACTCATTAACCTTTCAAAACTGCTAACAATGGCAAATTACAATGCAACAGACTGTGTGCCCCTGTTGCTAATACAGCGTATGCCGACTAACTGTTTTTTTTTTATTACTTCGTTCTACTGGTTTCCTAGTAAAATCCTACAGATGGTGTGGGAATTTACTTTGAAGCTTTTCTGGTAAATTTATGAACTATTTTGGGTGATTGCCTGCTCCTGTCTTTCACTGGCTGTCATGTCCATTTTCATTCTCATTTCTGCGTTCTGTGTGAAACAGCACTTAGGTCAATGGCTCTTAACCTTAATTTAGTTTAGTTGAAAACTAGATCAAATAGGATTAGTTTAAATAGTAGTGTGGCCGTATAGAGTTATTATTATTAATTAATTATTTCAGTGAAGAGTTAGGCTTTTTATATGTGTTTTACTTCTTTATTTTCATTGAGTTAGAGAAAAAAAGGTTTACTGGTGTGAAAACTGTAGAATTCATTACTACAGCCTAAAGTGGTGATAGAGATGGGCATATTAATATTCAAAAATATAAATAGGAATACCATTTATATTTATGGCACTTATGAATATGTTTATATATGAATATGAATACAGATGATACATATTCACAGCTGTAAATATAAATACGGCCGTATTCACTATTGTAAAAGAGTACGGCTGTATTTACACATGTAAAAGTTAATACAGCTGTATTCACGTTTATTAAAATGAATATGCTTAAATTTAAACAAATGAGTGAAAATATTTTCACATAACCTTATGCATGAATACTCTGATTTATTAAATAAATATTAATTTTAGTCACATCCAATTTCACTCTCGTAGGATGTGGTATTTTCCAAAATAAAACAAAAACAGTATGCAAAATTTAAATTAAAGTTCTGGACAGTAAGCGGTTTATTGGACTAAATCAATCTCTTCAAAAATGTTGGAATAATGGTAATAAGAAGGCAACCTGTATTTTAATACATAATAGAACTAAACTACTATAAATTGGTTAAATATTCTCAGAATATGAGAGATCTCGCTGACTTCTTGCGATCTATTATGGAGAAACTTTTTAATCAAAATCTTTGCATCAAGCCTAGTTATGTTAGGTATAGAGAATGTTATGTAGAAATCATTTATTCTAAAAAATTAATGAAAAGAGATGAGAATTATAAATTTGTTTGCTGTTCAGAAAAGCCCGCTTTAGAAAACTGTCTTCTATGGAAAGTTTCAAAGTATAAACAAAGACCTGAAAGTGCACCATGTCTGTAAGAGTGAGTGCTTTATTGCATAAACACATGCATTGTCTCCTATTACCAGTTTAACATTAACATCTGAGATCGTCACATGTCTTTATTTTGTTATAATTGTTATTCTTAAAAATTTTTGTAGAAGAGAAACGGTCAAATATAAGCCGACAGGGAGAGAGGGTTACAACAGATGAAGGTTATGCCAGTTAGTGCGAACTAAACAAGAAAGGTGTAGTTGTTCAAATAAAGTATAGTATTTCTGCCCTAAATAATACAAGTGGATATAAAACATAGTTGTTTAAAGTGAGTACACTCATATTTCATTAGAAAGAAAAATAACTGTTTATAAAAAAGAAACTTACCATTTGTATTAACTCCTCTGTGTCGGTCGGCTTGCTTCAAAGGAAGACAAACAGGACAATCAGGTCTAGTACAGTGTTTCCAATGGGAAATAATTTGTCTGGACGAAGAGCAATGAGGAACAGAACATGTTTTACCAGCTTGGCATGTTGTCATGTGATTCAAAACATTTTTCATCGTCATACAATGAGGTAGAGTACACTAGGGAAAAAAATATATAAAAACTGATTAATTATCAAATATTATTGTAATTAAAATAAAGTAGGATGATATTTTAGAAAAGAATAAATAACATAAATGTTGAATGAAAGATGAAGTTTAATAGTAACGAGGGCTCAAATTATAAATGATTTAAAATTATACTGAGATTCCATTTTTCATAATACCGTTATAATAATAGCTGAATAGCATTTTTTAATAAATATTACACAATGTGAAGCAAGTGATAGGCTGGCAGCCCTGTGTAGCTGCTATCATTATCACTAGGGCTAAGCTCTTCTACCGAGTAATAGTGCATGTTTCTCCTTAACTATTTTTGTTTGCTTTCACAGCAACTGTTATCTTGTTAGTAATCCAAATAAGTATTTCTTGTGTTTGCAGAATAGGTATGTTAGATATAAATTGATTGTGTAAGCTAAAATTGTTGAAACCTAAACAACTGAGCTATCTAGAACGCCTTATGATTGTAGTCATGGGCGCTTCAAGGGTATTTATTTAGGTCTGTTTATATTTAATTTAATATAAGAGGCTAACATGCAGTTTTTGTGTAAACTATTGGGTTGGCAAATAAGCCTTTTCGGTTTTTCTGTTTATTTTTATGTCACTATGATACACTTCTTATCTGATGAATTAATTTTTAAGGTTGACTGTTTATCCTGCTTGTAATATGTCAACAACCATATCTTTTAACTCTTGTTGAAACTAACTTAGTGTTGTGTTTGTTGTTGCACTGTGATTAAGGAAGACAATATTATTCATTATCGGCATATTTAGTTGTATTATTTTTAAAAAGGTAAGCATGCTGCAGAAGCTCACAGAAAAATTTGCAGTGTTTATGGGGATGATGCCCTAACCAAATGCACCTGTCAAAATTGGTTTGCCGAATTTCATTCAGGAAATTTTGACATCAATGATGCTCAACATTCTGGCGCCCACATGAAATTGAAACGGGCAATGTTAAGGCCATTGATGATCAAAATCACAACCATTCAGTGCGAGAGATTTTTATGGCTCTAAATGTATAGAAAACCATTTGCACAAGCTTGGCTGTTTCCAGGCTTAATGTTTGGGCCCCTCATTCTCTAACAGAAGTCAACTTGGCAACACGCATTTCTGTTAGTGATTCACTACGGAAACGGCAACAAAACGACCCATTTATGAAAAGGTTGGTAACAGGAGATGGAAAACAGATATTTTACGATAATGCAGTCCATTGAAAATCTTGGAGACCTAGTAGTGAGGCTCCTACAAGAATGTCAAAACCAGGATTGCACCCAAAGAAGATAATGCTTTCCATAAGGTGGGATATGTGCTATTGCCATCAGGAAAAACAATTGATTCAACTCTATACTGATCATCATTAACAAAATTGGATCAATCAATTAAAAATAAGCGCCCAGAACTGGCAAATCGGAAGGGTTTTGTGTTCCACCGAGACAACACTAGGCCCCACACCTCATTGGTCACTCACAATAAATTATTTAGCATTGGATGGGACCTTTTGCCATACCCTCTCTATTCACCAGACCTAGCTCCAAGTGACTAACACTTATTCTGGTCTCTGAAGAACTCCATGAATGGAAAGAAATTTCAAAAACCACTTGGATCAGTTTTTTAACAATAAACTCCAGAAATTCCATGATCATGGCATTACGCAGTTAGTGTAAAGATGGAAAAAAGTCATATTAAATAAAGGTCATTATATTGTAGATTAAAATAAATTTCATGCCTATAATACATTTGAGTTTTATTTTACTCTGAAAAACTGAAAGGACTTATTTCCCAAACCAATAAGACAGATTCAAAGTTTTAAGTATTAAATAATAATAATAATAATATTTCAAATAAACTTCGGGGCAGCTATTAAAAAATAAGGTATAAATAAATAGTATAAAAAAAAAAAAACACTTAAAATATTATTTATGTGTGCATAGAGTTTTGAAAGTTTAAACTTATATTTTCAAGTACCTTCAAATAAAGAAAAATGATTGATCTTTTAATCATTTAAAAATGACACAAAACCATTTTGGAGAAAAATAACACTACTCACTTGTGAATTCTCTCCATTAGATTGGTTTTCTCTCCTCTGACATTTATGAGCATGCAACAACAAAACGAGTTGTTGTTGTATCAATTTTCTTTTCTCAGGATCAGCAGAAGTTGATGTAGGAGGCTGCGATGGAACCTGAGGTACAGGGGCCCCAGTTACAGCAGGAGAGGCATTTGGCGCAGCCCCTGTGGGGCCACTTGCTAATCCTCCATCAACAGGATTTCCTCCTCCTATTCACATAAAATAAATGATTTAAGTTGATAGTCAAAGAGAAAAAACGGTTGAAGAAATAAGATGTAAATAAAACAATTATCATTATGATTATTTAGACCTACCTAAATTGGGGGCAAACCGTGTCTGCTGTATAGCAGAAAGATTGGGAGGTACAGGCCTCTGCTGAGGTGCTACTACGCCGCCATAACCATATGGAGCACCTCCGAGACCAGCCATGTTATTGGCCTATAAGAAAAAGAATATAATTTTAAGAAAAATCAATGAGAAATGTAATATATATATACAACATGGAATATATTCAACACAAATGTTGATAATTGCAAAAGTGATATGATACCTGTAGCCTAGGCTGCTGAACATTGATTGAATGTAGAGGACTCTGTACCCTGTTGACTAAATGGCTCTGCATTGCAACCCCCCTCATCCCTCCAATTGGTCCATTCTGTCCCGGAAGCAACCCAACTGAAATATAAGCTAAATATCATTTCATATGAACCAGCTGCTATCCAAATTTAAATAATGATTTATAATAAGTTTATTAGTAAATATTTTGAGGTTAACAATATTTGATATCTTAATTTCTAAATGTTACTATATCAATTTTTTTAAATATTCCAGGAAAAGAACAAAAATACGTCTTTAATTTTATATTGGACCAATTAACAATTTTCAAGCATAATTTTAAAGGCCTTCTCAATTTTTTGGATGAATGTGGGTAGATGGTTACAATAGCATCAAACCAAACCATTAACAAATGAATATGCCACATCAAAATATTGCTTTTAAAAAAATTGTTCTTTAGAACCTTTAGGAAATTAGTGGCTTAATTATTAACATAATAATTGGTTGAACTATAGAATATGTAATTCAACTATACTTGCTAAAATAAATAGTTTTTTTTTTTAATTTTCAGAGATCCAGTCAACCTTATGAGCGACGGAATTAACAGTGGAAACGTTAAAGGAAGAATGTCTAATAACAATAACTACCTTAGAGACTAAGCGGCTTTAAGGTCTTTAAAGTAATGATCTTACTGCACCAGGAGTAGGTGTACAAGATGTTTGTCGTAATATTAGGTAATTTGTTTGATTGATTATTTTATTTAAAATACAATGAGTTTAATTTTTAATATATTATAAGTTAGAAAATAAAATTTAGTTGACTGGGTCGGAACTCATGATTACAGCCCCATATTGGGCTCATACCTTTCTCATTGGGCTCAAACGAACAGTTTTTTTAAGATTTCACATTCAGAAATACTGATAGTTAAAATAATATATTAATCAGATAATTCTCGTTTACAGCTTTGTAAACTAGACTATCTTTAGTAGTTAATTTATTATTAAAAGAGTCCAAGGAAAAATAACTAATTAGAAATCTAGACAATCCTGAACACAGAAAAAAAAAAAAAAAAAAAAAAAAAAAACCAGTGAGATTACTACTTCTGGCTTTAAAGTGTGGTAATTGCATTTAATTTATAATTTTCAAATTGCAGGTAACGACTGGAAATTTTGAGATATTTTTGTTAAAGAAAATCAATGTAATACTGATGTTTTTTTTTTAAATATAGCTATCCTTTAAACTTTATATTCTTTAATCATTAATATTAGATTTGGATACACTTTGTCCATTTATAATTTATACAATAATACATTAAAGATCAACAATTGAAAAAAACAAAATACATTAAAATAATAATTTAAATTAATACAAACCTTGCTGTTGAGGTGCATTAGCATTTGACTGTTGTACCATCATGGTTGTAACAGCTGAAGCTGGAAGAGGTTGCTTGTTCGTGACAACTAACGTACCGGTCATTGGGTTCAAAGCAGAACTGGTCATTATCATACCTTAAAATTCAATTAAAAATTATTATAGTAAACCATGTTAAACAATAAATATCTTTATGTTTTACTCTATTAATTAAACAATTTAAACAGAACTAATGTCCATAGAACTGATATGAAAAAATAAAATAAACTACCTGGTCCAGCATTATTGATTGAAGATTGTTGAAGTTGATGTTGCATTGGAACTACCATTTGATCGACAACACCAGATTTACTAACCGATACGTTGGGAGGAGACTGAAGTGAACCTGCTTGACCTTTCAACCCTCCTCCCATTGCGACTAATTGGGTTTTTGCACCCTGAAAATATGAAAAAAACAGAAATATTAATATATATTGTGATAATGATAAAAGAACAGTCGAATAACCATGAAAAGTTTTTCTCAGGAATTAGCATGAAAGAATGCTCACCAAATTAAAAATTAGTTTAATAATAATTTATTTTCAAAGGCTACAAGACAATGGAGAAGTAAGAAACTGTCCAAAATGCTGCTTTAATTCTTGAAAATGACATGATTTTAACTGTAAATTCATCATAGCATGAATATAATAAGATGCTCATACATACAAATTTGTACTCAGCAAGTAGAGCCAGTCAAACTCATAACCTGAGCTTTCACAACCATTATAGAAAAATGAAATACTCATATAAGAACAATCACATTAGATATCTATTCTCCCTAATACACTTCAATTATATGCAATAATAGAAGGACAGGTTCAATCGTATAAACTAAATAATACTATGAGGAAAGTATATTCAATAATTGGGGAGCTACATATTTTATAACAACTATGTTGAACTAAAGCATTACTCAATAAGTAGTTAGTTTTCCTCACTAGAAAATATCCTCCATTTTAATAGCTAAGCAATGAGACTCAGCTATCCATAAACTTAAACCAACCAGTATTGTACTTGCTAAGACCTATTGGGCTCTTGTACAAAAGAGCAGGATACTTAGTTTGTGATTCTCTCACTACTATTTATCATTTATTATGAGTGAAATGTAGAAGGCAGATTCAGATAAGAATTTAATTACTACAATGACGATATAAAGGGTAAATCACCAGTTATGATCAAATCATTAGTTATGGGCAGACTTTTAACAGTTTCACAATAAGCTATTAATTGATTCATAATAAGCTCCATTTTTTTGTAATGGTTTCTTGGGATATTTCACAGATGTCTTTATGATTCATTAACTAGCGAATCTTAGTATCTAATCCCATTCCTGTAGGCACAATAAATATTTTTCCCTGATAGTGTTGTGCAAATGACATTTTTGTAATATAAGCATTTTTACTTTGCAGACTGCAAATGAATTATTCTCTAATTTTTTCATCTATTTTTAACTTTAAAGATATGTATACATTGACAGACTTTTTGCCTTTCTGTAGATCCCATTGTTTTTCATAATTTTAATTATCATCATCCCTGATCATTTCTTTAATTTTTTTTTTCTTGGTACTAAAAAATAGTAGCTTTCTCATGGTTTATTAGTACTATTGTTAATCTAAAATAAGATACCCTTTTATTAGTTTTGGTTGAGTGACAACATCATGTGACAACAATGGTGGTTACTGGTCATGGGCGGTTGGTTTTTTTTTTTTTAATTTCTTATATATTATTTCTTATAAGATATTTTAGAAAGTAATTTTTATTTTTTAACGGTAAATGATTAAAAATATGCAAAAAAAGATATTTTAGGTTGTATTTTTTTTTAACAGTAAATAATTTAAAATATGCAAAAAAAAAAATTATTTGTTTTAACATACACTAAAGATAACATCACAAAGACTAAAAACAGAATTCTGCAAAGGGGCATCAGTAAAATCTACAAAGCTATAATATGGACTTTTAAAATGAATATTTTCTGAAATTTTAACATATCTAGTGTCTTTGCATTATTTTATTATGATAGGAACGACATCCCAAGAATGAAATTAGCTCAAAGAATGGAGGAATACAGGAAAGCTGCAGTGTGAAGCAAATCTCATTTATAGTCCAGAAAAGAAGGACATGTGAGTAGTAATAAAATATATTTTTGTCTCATAACTAATATTTACTTTGCCCAAACTGGTACTTGTAGGTATTTATAAAAAAACAATAGAAAGGAAAATACAGTACATTGGTCAATTTTACACTAAAGAGAACGATCATTTGTGAATCTTAATGTGTAACTGATATTGTTATCGGGGAAACTGTTTAGACAACACATCCTTTTGCATCAATCATGAACATATCAAGTGATATATCCCTTAATAACCACAGTAACTTGTTTATTGGTATTAAAATTTCAAAATCCTTTCTTGTCCGAGTTGCCTAAGAGATCTCAGTGCTATTCACCTCCATTTATCTTTTCAGTAGATTTTTAGTCAGCCATGGACTATAACAAATAATGCTATTTTAATTTTTAAGAATCTAAATGATGCGAGAAATGTAATCTTTTAATTGCATTGCTGGTAGATGTAAATGGTAATAGTTCAGGAATTATTAAGGCTACTAGTTTTCAATTTGTTCAAATAATTTAATTATTAATTTCTCGTATTATTCTTACTTGCTTGCTTATCACATGGAATTTAATCACTAATTTCTGTCAGATTATTTCTTTATGCTAAGCTAGATTAAATGATTATCTTACGAAAAACGTCACAATTAATCTCAATAGAATTAAAAACATAAAATGAACAATAACTAATATGATTAACTAAAAAATGAATAAATATAACTGTTCTTTTATTCAAAGACTTATGATTAAAAACTTAATGTATTTAATTTTTAAAATCTAAACCTTCAATGTTTTACTATTAACTTTCCCTTACTATAAACCTAGACAGATAAATAATCTTCTAAAAAAAAAAGGCAAACATTTTACTTTTTTTATTCAATAAATACAATGAATAAATAGTCATTGCATAAATGCATAATTTATCATATTTATGACATAAGCTAAATATCATGATTAAAAAAGTTATAGTACGATTTTATTTAATAATTCAATTAATAGATAATGAAAAGATTGATAGATCATTTAAATCTTATTAGTATTTTATAATATAGAAAAAAAAGGTGCACTTCAATAAAAAAATATTCGTATAGATTATAAAAAAGTTAAGAACTTCAAACTATGATCTACTTGAAAAGCAAATTAGTTTCACAACTTTGACTTGCCACCCACAGCATGGCAGATAATGTTGCTCCCCTCCTGCTACCACAGGCAATTAGTTTAAATTAAAAAAAAACAACTTATTTTTACTTTCTTTTTTTCATTTACCTAGTTTAAATTCATGCAATCACATTAAATGAGCTGCTTTTAGTAGTTACAAACTCATATAATTCAAATTTTGCTGCCTACAAAAGTCTGTGCCTCCTAAACCCACTACTGATTACCTCATAACGATTAATGCAAGAAGTCTCAATATATTCAATTTTTATGCTAATCAAACACTATGGATTATTAAGAATAATTGCTTGTCTCATACTAAATAGGAATATTTTAAATATAATTTGGATGTTACTAGTGAATCAATGGGATTAATGGATGATAAATGTAGTATCAAATTAAATTTTATAATAATCTACTTTTGGGTTAGCATTTTTTATTTCTATTCTGGAGATTATTGACATGATTTCAAGGCCAATTTTAAAATGAGCAGTGTGTATGGAGACTTCATTATAATCAAAGCATTAATGCCAAATTTTTCATGCCCTCTGGATGGATAGATACTAATATCCTTAGGATTTTAAAAAGATTGTTTTTCCAAATATTTTTGCATGCCAATCTTTTTATTATTATAAGAAGAGATTCCAGAGGCCAATGAAAGCAGTAAATCTTCAAGACAAAACAGTAGATAAGGCGTCTCAAGACTTATTATTTTCTGATCCTCATTGAATTCATAGGAGACTTTTCCCATCTTCCAAGCCACCAGAAGAGGGTGAACTCATGATCCATTGGACAAATGAAGGTTTACCTCCATGTTTTGTGAGAAGTCATTTTTGGCTAAATCTTCAAAATTTTCAAGGCCATATATAAATAATAAAATTTATAATATCAACGAAAATTGCTTTATTTCACCCTTACACATTCGCTCCATGCTTCAATTATGTTAATTTTCTCGATGACATTTCAGACAATTTTGCCCATTTTTAAGTCAAATATTTATCTATAATGTAATTACACAATATTTTTGGCT